GCAACCGCAACCAAAATTGGAATCATTCATTCTATAGTAGTGACGACTTGAAGACAAGGGCAAGGACGACGATTTGATCAACAAAAAGTAAAACATAAACAGGTGCTGGAGATGTACAGAAAAACCCGAACCCGATGTAAGTGCTAGAGTCAGTCAGCGCAAATACGTTGAAAATACAGGCTGCAACAAACGTAAGCACATCTTCATCATGATCGGGACGATTATACATTGCAGGAAGAAGCCGCGGGGGCGGTTTCTCGCACTCCAAATTTCCCTTCTCGTGGCCGCATATTTGTCAACATGTCGACAGAAACAGAAATGTTTCCCGTTACGCTCGCAGTCCTGTTTGTTCGCGACGTCGTATTCTGCTCTTTCGCGGTGCTGTTGTTCAGCACGCCCACCGGCTTATTTCGCGCAACCTGTAATTCCATCTTCTTCGTCGCGCCGTCCTGTGGAACAGCAGGATCTTGACGTTGTGGAGATGCAGAGGCATTTAATACCGCGTCTCTGTCCGACATCTCCCGCATCTTCACCTCCTGCACGGAGTCGGACTCTTCACGCTCCTCGCAAGACCTAGTTTCGAGTTGCAGTTATTTGGTTAATATAAATATTCCTTTGAGCGATAACAGCGACAGTGCGTCGCATCACATTTTCCGCAAAAACTGGAAATCTGGGGGGGGCGTTCTGTTGCAGATGAGATCTTTGTTCCAACTACACTTGTATGTCAACATCAAGCAAAGAGAACGCCTTAGCTTACACTAACGGCACAGGTTCTTGCTCGGTATGGGTAAATTGGTGGACGCTGATACTACAGTGCTACTGTTGAGCATGCAGAAACTACACGCAAACCAAACTATGTGGATCATGATCGGGATACTAGTAAGTTAGAGGAAACTACAAGCCCGGCCGGAAAACGGGGCTACCTTTTCTCTTGAATATGCACCACATTCCTAGGCCGCAGAAGTACTTACCAGTCGACCCACGGTCGTAACCGGAGCAGGACCCGCGCGGCTGCTTGCTCCTGGCTTGCCTTGGCATCCAGGGACAGTTTCGCTTCAGACCCATCCACGCATTTTCCATTGGGCAGGAAATCCGCACGAATCGCCGAAAACGACCGGCACAGCAGAAACGCCAGTATCAAATGCAAATAGGTATGTCTGGGTCTGGAAACTTGTGATGCTGGACTATGGATGATTGAAATCATCGTCCCAATGCAGCCAAGCATGACAAGTTTGCCGAACACTTACACTTTCTGATGCGCGGTCGGCATAAGTAGAAGCTACGATTTTTTATGACAAAAAAGAGCGGCTTTTTGTATGTCACGCAATACAGATTTTACCGGAAAAATGTAGGCCTACAAGTTTCAGCTGTCGTACAGACCCAGACATATTTACAACCGATACCCAGATCGCTGGACACATCTCCATATGTATTGCAAAAGCATCGTAGTCGTACTAGTTCTAGTACAAATCGCATGACAAATTTCCTCAGCATGAAAATGCGATTCGTAATGCAAAATTTTCGCCTAGAAAAATATAGATTTGTCATGCAAGACCAAGACTGGCATTAATACGATCGCGATACCTTTATTGCACAGGATACTGCAGCGGCTCGCCGCCAGTCTTCGGTGTACTCGCGGACGGTTATGAAAGTGCACAACTCCCCCTCCCCCTCATTTGTAATGTAAAGTACCAGCAAAGAATCCACATGTTGTTTGCAGTTGTACGCACAGCTGTTTGCATGCGGTATTTTGGAACGACCACGAGCAGTGCTACAATCCGTGTGCAAATTTTTCATGCGGAAGCCCCCTTTCTGGCGTTGCTTGTGTTGCTGCTGACACTCTTTAAATGAGGGGGAACAATGGGAGTTGTTGTGCACTTTCGTAACGGTGAAGAACGGGTGTAGCCGAGGAAGCTTTTTATGCGGGCCGGCTGACGCAGCTTCTAGAATCGTATGCATGGTAAACATGTCTGGATCCTCTTCGGGAAGATTGCGAGAAATCCCTTGTGGCAACCTTGATGCGGCCTTGGCGATGGCAGCCTGCCGGTACTCTATGAACTGCAAAAGCATCGTACTAGTACAAATTGCATTTACAAATTTGCTCAGCATGAGTAATGGAATTCATCATGCTGTTTTACTTTGAAAAGAAGATTTGTCATGCATATACTGCAACCAGCCACCCCCCGGCGAAGGCCGCCGGGGAGGGGGCTGTTCGGTGGAGGTGTTCCGGTGGGGAAGGTGGCGCCAGCAATGAATCGCTGCGCGCCGCTACACAACCAAATAAAAAGAGCCCGGCCCATGTTTCGGCATCGGTGGGCACCCTGGGGGGCGCGCCTCAAGGGCCCTGCCTGTGTTACTAATAGACGGCGCCAGGGCGCGTCCTACACTTCCACCTGCTGCTGCATGCCCGGCCTTAGTAGCTGCCTGCGCGCCGTAGGAAAATGCGCGCAGGAAACTACTTCCGGGCGCCATTGTGCGAGACGCAACACGGGCGACGCACCTGCTGCCAGCGCGCGCGGGCGCTGTGGGAAAGAAGTTGCGGCCACCCTAGGTGGCCGACCAGGTTAAGGCGGGGCGCCGCGCCCCCTCTGGGGGACGCAGAGCGGCGCGCGCACTTTGAACGGCCGCTCTGATCTGAAAGCAAAAGCAATGCCAGCCGGTCGCTGCGCCCTAGCGAGCTCCTTGAGGAGGCGCCACGCGCAGACAGGTGGGCAGGCTGTGCTCCTGGAGGTGGTCCGCGAGGGGGTCCGCGAGAGGGTCCGGGAGAGGGTCACGGAGAGGGTCCGGGAGAGGGTCCCGGAGAGGTTCGGAGAGGGTCCGGGAGAGGTTCGGAGAGGGTCCCCGAGAGGATCCGGGAGAGGGTCGGAGAGGTCCCGAGAGGGTCCGCCGAGAGGTAAAGTAGAGGTTTCCGGAGAGGATCGCGTAGAGGGTCGCCCTATACTACGCACCCTCTCCAACCCTCTACACCCTCTTCCCCTACCCTCTATTTGACCTCTCCCCAACCTCTACCCTACCTCTGCGCGCGTATAGCCGCGCTTTAAGGGCGTCTATACGGCTCACCCTCTCCCTACCCTCTCCGTTACCTCTCGTTTTACCTCTCCCCGACCCTCTCAATTTGGCGGACCCTCTACTTTACCTCTCCGGCCCTCTATTTTACCTCTCTAAAACCTCTCCCCAACCTCTACTGTACCCTCTCCCGCCCCGTTTTCTTCCATATATAAATATATTAATTAGTACGACTACGATACTTTTGCACAGGATATACTCCAGGTTCTTGATGATCTGCTGGACGATACCGTTCTTGAAGATACCTTTGCCCTATAAAATGCAAAAATGCTTGGGTCTGGAAGGTTCTGAGGCTTGTCATGCACGTTTTGCATGAGCCATGACGTCTGTGATGCATGCCCTAGCATCACAGATTTTTTGAGGGCTTCTTGACGCCTATTCCGCATGACAAATGCCTTTTCCGCGTAGCAAAAAATGCGTTCCCCTTGCTGCTCATGCAACACAGATTTTTTTGAAATCCATATGCAGCATCCCAAGTTGCATTCTTCCAGACCCAGACATAATTTTTGCATTTGATATGCCTCCACTCGACGTCGGGGCAGCAAACCGCGGATGGAGCCTCAGCAAGCGAGCGTTGGTGCATCTCCCCCCGCACGCGTGGCTGTACGTCCAAGAGGCCCAGCCGGATGGGGCGTTCACGGTGGAATCGCAGCATAGGGTACAATACGGCGAGCGGGAGTCGGGCAGGTCGACGACATAGAATAACAGTTGGTAATCCTTTTCCGCATCCGTCAAAAGCGAACCACAGTTGTTGTCTTGTGCGGCCGAGAGGACTGTGGCACTAATCTTCTCCATCACGGTCTTCTCCTCCTCCTCCATCGGTGAAAGAGGCGGCTCCTGCACGTCGGCGTTGGACGAATTGTCCTCTGAGCGCGGCATTTTCCGGTGCGGCACTTTTCCTTGCGGTGATAACGATACCCTCCTCCTGCTGGGCAAGAATAAACTGGCAGAGACCTCTTGCTCCGCGATCCTCCTGGTGTCCTTTGTGGATAGTTCTTACAGGCACTGTTACCGTGGTCGCCTGCGGTCGTTACGCTCATTGATTTTCTGAGATTCTGAGACGCCGCCACAATGTCTTTCGAGTTTACAAAATTCAAATATCTTTAATATTAGGTCGACCACCAAATGGAAATCAGAGAAAATCAATGTAACTGCGTCGTTGCTCTTTTACTGTGTCCGGTCCATAGATATGATCATGTTCTAGAGCAACTTCTTTATTACAACGGGAAGACATCAAAAAGCAACAATATTTTTAAAGAACTACTCTCTCAGGTAATAAATTGTACTGTCGAGGAAAGACGAGGCCATGTTGAAAAAGACAGTGTTGATGATCAGTATACAAAAATTTGCTTTACCAGAATGTTGACAAATCGCACTGCTAGGTGCACCCCCGATGGAAAAAAAAAGAACCTGAACTACAACACCGACCAGCGCAACTACAAGGACGTTACCGCTGCCGCTCGTGGCAAATCAGTTTATATTTCTCTAATATGCCTGCGCGCAGTGGTGTTTACAGAATTTACAGCAATAGCCAAGAGGATCATCAACAAACTACAAGTTTCAGCCGCACGGCGGATGCGAACGTTGATCTTCTGGTGAAACGCAACGACTCTACTACAGCAGTAGGCCCGCCAGAAATCATTCATCTGCCAGCTGACTCAACAATGTCCTTCATGATGGCCACACCTAAGGTCGTTCCTCAGTACGACCTCTGGATCATTTATTTGTGCGTCTCTGGTGCACCACCGGGTGGTTGCAATGAATGTTACGGATCGGGATCGCACGTGATCATACGTTACTCCTGATAGAAAGTTGCACATGATCTTCACAAGTAGACAGCTGTCAACGTGCTCAGCCGTTGTAGGGATCACTCGAGCGGAACAATGCATCTTCGACGGAACCACAAGATAGCGACAACGATCGCAACATATCTTCTCGGACAACCGGCGGCAGATTCAGATTCAGTATTCTGAAGCACTCGTGGATGAGTGTTACAGATGCTCGCTCGTGGTGAGCGGCGGTAGAAATGTTTTTTCTCGAGATAGGCAGCGAAAGACCAAAACTGCCACGCTCAACCCTGCTTAGCCTACGCACAACCTTTGACCTGCTACCAAGAAACCAATAGAGGGCGCAAAAGCCTACGCCTACCAACCAGAACTACCGTAAGTGCCTATCATAGCCAATGCTTCTTACCTACCGATACTAAAACAAGCGCAAGCCTGCTCCTTCGCATAAGAAAAGTGACCAATGAATAGAGCCAACCTACCTAAATACCAACCAATAGAGAGCCGACCAGCAGTCGTGAGTGCCTATGAAATATATAACTATAAGGGTTTTTAGATTTCGCTGTGTAGCAGTACAAGAGACAACACTCCTTCTGCGCCGGTTTTCCTTTTACCTTTCGAGGAGCATGCCCTTTTGCCTCTTTTAGAGACTTTGCTTTATTTTTCGAAAATTAGTTATAGTTTTGTATATTCTTATTTCGCCTGTACCGTTGCTGTGTGATCGTTTTTCACTCTGACAACATCTTCTTTATGATATATATCAAGTACAACTGTAGGTATATGTAACTATAATCTTTGCCGACTTAGTTTTACCTCTTCTCCGTGACAGAGTGATTCAGATATTCATTTTATTGAAAAGAAAATATGATCATCACGCCGTTTCTTGTTCAAATCTCGATGAAAAAAAACGAGCGGACTTTCGATGATGACGTACAGGTACAGGTCCGAGCACTACTTATTCCAGAAAGTGACTCTGGGTGATATAGCAAAAGTTTTTTCAAAAAGTTGACATTGGCACGAAAGCCGCAATTTTTTAGTTTTCAAGTTTAAGACCGAGAGCGAGATCTTAAGCAATGTGTTGCAAAATAAAAAGCGTCAGCCGCCTATGCCAAATTCGAAGAAGCTCGGCGGGACGGCCCACCCATAGACTTGTTGCTGCGTCTCGTTCGTCGGCCAGGGTGTCGGTGGCGTCGTCGCACCAGGTTCCGGTTCCGATCCGGCGCGCACGCCTGCTGCTGGAAAGTTAGCCGCGTTGTTGCTGATGTTTCTTTGCACCATGACCCTCAGCTGCGTCTGGTAGCCCAGGGGCCTGCGGCGCTCCTGAAGCCCCGAATTGCTCCGTTGCAACAAATCGCCTTCCTCTACTTCGGGTGCGCGGCTGCCGCTCGAAGTGGGGCTCCGCGCCAAAAAGCCGCCGGTTGGAGAGGTGCCCCGACGGTCGTCTCCAACCGATCCGGTACTGCCATAACGCCCACTGCTGGTAGCCCCCATGCCGCTCGGCTGCAGGTGCGGAGACAACCCGGCTGGAAAATAACTGCTAGTAGCACTACCTGTGCCCCCTGCTGTTCCTCCCTGCTGACGCGCCGTGGATTGCGCTTCTTTTTCCTTCGCCTGCTTCCCACGCGGGGGATCCCGGTCCGGCAGCGGAATCGGTCGTCCGGGCATGGACCAAAAAGAGGCAAGGCCAGCTGGCCCACCGCCCGGAGCCGCACCGGCCGTGGGAGACATGAAGGGTTCATGGCGATCCATCCGATTGCTCTGCGTTTCGTTTCGTCCAGCACTAGACAGCTTGTCCGTTTCCCAGTCGCTCTGATCCGACAAGTCCGTCAAGTGCCCGTTCCAGGAGGAGCCCGAGGGGCTCGAAGATTCCCGTCGAGCTTGTTCTTGTTCCCCTTCTTCCACCTCCCGCCGCGGCTCCCGTCCTCGCAGACCCTGGGGCAGCAGGGCAAACTGCTCACGGTCCTGAAGATTCGGAGTCCGCGGCGTCGGCTGCAGTTCTTTTTGCAATCCGTCTTCCACCTCCCTCTCGTCCTCACTGGAAGATGAAACAGTGCGGGCGCTGGAAGTTGTGCTTCTTCGCCGCGGGGCCGGGAAGAGAGGACCCGACTCTAGGTCCCCACCGCCGGAGGGAGCATGCGGAGGCGAAGCCGAAGCTCGACGCTGGTCCGCGCGTTGGTGCTGTTGTCCGTCCCTCGCGGCCGGGTCAATCAAAGCACCCCTGGAATGTCCACCACGAAAGTCGGCGGCTGCCTGAACGTGCGGTTGCCACACGGAGTTCCTGCCGAGAAAAAGGCGCCCTGGCCCATCGCCGTCCTCGGCCAAAAGACTGTCGGCACGAGCTGCTGGCGGAGGCCGAGGCCCAGTGTTGAAATTATCACTCGTCGGTGCAGATGAAATCGAAAGCCGTGCCAAGGTACCAGCGATTTGTTCTTCATCTAGTTCTTCTTCTTGGACGTCACCACCTTCCATTGCTTCTGTGGTTCTCTGCCGCGGAGAGTACAGCACACCATTTTCATCTGCAGCTTCGTGCGACTGGGACAGCAATACACGCGCATTGGATAGTACGCCCGCAGTGTGCTGGTCCAGGATGATCGGCTGGTTCCTGATCGCAGTTCGCCGCAAAGCCGACAGCAAGGGCTCGGCTTGTTCCAACCGCTGCCGCCGGATGTGAGGATACATTAGCGCCGTCGAAGTAGCGAGAAACTGTCGCAGAGCAGAGGGGCTTGATATGAACTACAAATAAAGTATCGTACTGGTAATCGTATAAATGCATAATACAAATTTTCTCAGCATGAGAAATGAAATTTGTAAGTAATGCTGATTTACTTTGAGAAAAAAATTTGTAATGCAAGGCTTGCATTTATACGAATGCGATACTTTTGCACAGGATACTCGAGAACTGTACACGATAAGCAGGGCATCCTCTGTCCAGCTGCTGTTGCTGAGTTGCGGTTTCACGGGACACGTCGACGGACAAAGTAGAGGACGCGGGCGTGCCCAAAGAGTTGTCTTCCGGATCTGCGGACATCACGACGAGACCCACGTTTTCATCAGGAGGATGACCATTGTAGTAGACGACGAACGGCAGCTGCGACGCGACATTGTTTTTGTCTTCAGTTCTTTCGGCGGCACCGGCAGCGGACGTCAAGTGCAAGTCCTCCGCGGCCAAGAAAGTGCTTGTCTCTTTTTGTTCCGGCGAGGGGCCCCGGGGGAACGCGGTCATTCCAGCAGGACCTAGGAAGCCCCCGCTCGAAGAAGAGGTGGCTCCACGCTGAGCCGGACCGCTGACACAGAGAGCAGAACCAGCCCCAGACACGTTCATCTCGTGGTCTTCGCCCGGCGTGGTCTGGCGAGACCATGCAGCAGCAGGAGCCCCACCCCCAGACTCGTTCATCTCGTGGTCTTCGCCCGGCGTGGTGCGGCGAGACCATGCAGCCGTCGATGTGGGAAGCATAGTGCTGCAAGAGCTGCTTGCGACCGATGCCTGCTTCTCCCAGGGTATCAGGACGTCGTCGAAGATGTCTGCCGATCGGTCTTCCTCTTCCTCCGTCCGCATCGGAGGTGCAGCTGCTGTAGTACCACAACCCTGGCGCAGAACTTGATGCTCTGGTCCTCCACCGCCACTGTGAACCACGACCCCCGCGAAAGATGGCGCGTCTCCTGCGATGCCCGCCGTTGCGATTGCCGGATGTTCATCTCCCATGTGGTCACTTGTTGCCGATGCACATTTGCCGCCCCACTTTTCCCCCGCAATTGTACTGTTTTCGTTTTTTTCCTGGTCACGTTTCATGCCGTGCTGTCCCTGCCCCTGCCCGCCCGCAGCGGAGGCGTACACGACTCCGCTAGCAATCCCCGGCGGACCGGAAAGAAATCGAGAGAACGCGAGGTCATGACCAGGGGCGAAAAAGTAGTACATAATCATCGTAGCACCGGCAGCAGCGGTTCGCGCACGTAGCCCGTGCCGTGCACGAAGTGTTCCCTCCATCCTCCAGCTCCGGCGCCCTTCCTTCGTCGGCAAAATAAGAGCCCGCGCCGGGGGGCCGGAGCGCGATCTGTGAGCGTCTGGCGAACACATTCGACTACCGGATGCAAGTCGATTGAGATTACGTGGCGCGTAATAAAATAATAGTAAGTTAGATCAAACAATATGTTAATGTTGTGCGTTATATGGTATTAACAAAAAATGAAAGCAACTTGATAAAAATCCAATAAAATAGAGTATTTTGCTAGCCGATTCGGTGTTTTTTAACCTCGGAGCCGACGTTTAGACTTAGGGCGCGTTCTGACATTTATCTTGATATTATAATATTAATGGAACAACTCGTAGCTTGGAAAGTAGGTTTAACCTATTTTTTCCTTCCTACCTTATTCAATCGAAGACCAAATGAAATTGAAAATGAAGTACCGCAACAACGCAAGCAGAGCGAAGGCCCTGCAGCTATAAATTTGACAAATGCCAATGCGGGTGTTAGTATAGCAGCGACAAACCAAAGCACAAACTTAATCCTCTAGCTCGCGCTCCAAATCGGCAAGAAGTTCTCTTTATTTTCTTGTAGATAGTGGACAATTACAATACATAGGTATGGCAAGAAAATCCTACTTTTATTTTCTCCTAAAAAAATTTTCAGCGCTGGACCACAGTCGTGGCGTTTCTGTTTCATCTAGCTGCAACTCCAAAAGTTGACCAAGAGTTGAAATCGCTGGAATCAACGTAAGTATTTATATTTTCATTTCACACATTGACTCATCAAACATTGAATGACATTATATTTTACCTCAGTAAATGCGCGCTGAGCTGAAAAAAAGACCCCGGATAGGACGGAAAATAAGTATCCAGCTGAGCTGTATCGACGAAATCCCGATATTTGTGGTGAACCATAGATGTGAATCGCGTGCTTACCAGTGAAACGCTGCGGATCTACGTTGCACGAACTTATCTCGCTTCGGATCTACTGACGCGTTCGCATTGACATGCTCATGTTGTACATCCGATGGCGATGGAGATGGTGCAGACGCCATTCGAATTATACTGTGCGAAATCATAGGATCAGAAAAATCACATTGCGCCGCTGCCGCAGAACACCACCCATAACAACAAAATGCGTTGCTCGCACAAATCATGATATTATCCGGAACAACTTCAACTGCAAAGCAGCGCCTTGACTTTTACTCGCATCAACTACTTGAGCCTTCATTTACATTTTCTACATGTGATATTAGCTCGTCACCGTCAACTCAGTGTTTTCGTCTCATGAAGATAATCAAGCCCTTCTTGAGTTCAGTCCTACTACAACTACATATGGGTAAAGTGAATTTTCTGATTGGTCCGCGGCTTGGAATTCCTTACTTCTCCTTTTAGCTCGTTCTTCATTGTCACCAAGCGAATCTTATCATCAACCTCGTCAGTATTTGCTACCCATAATTTCTTCTAAGCCCGAAAAAGCAGCGGGATCCAATGGCAATGAATACTCGCAGTTGCCTCGTGCGTCTAACTACTTCTGTTTCTCTATAAAAATTGCTGATCTTGCTATACCCTCTTACTCATTTACCCATTTTCCTAATTTTATCTTTTTTCGTAGGTATTAATTCTGATCCGTAAAAATTGTGCTGCTATTTTCATCGCGGGTTTGAAGACGTTCATCCGCCGGTCCTCAATGAATGGGTTTCAACAAGAGACTCACCACTTCGTTTGTTTTTAATCCTGTCTTTTCAAAATTATACTTTTCTGCTTCTCTGACACTTGATTTGATTTGGATTTCGACGTTTTGCACTCACTAAATAATAAAATTAAATGTTGTACTTGTAACCACGCAACGACTTGTGCTTGTCGTATTCAATCTTTACGCAGCCCTCGAACACAAAAACTGAATCTAGAAGAGAAACATTTTTTGCTCTTTCTATTCTGAAACAGCAACCCGACTTTTATGCATGACAAAAGCATCTCTACTCGTCGTAATCGCAATCATGCGCCATTTGCAAATCTTCATCCCAATGCCAATGTTAATCAGCGTGACAAACATCATGCGTCACGCAGACCTAAATGTGTCGCGATGCAAATATTACTAGCGCGATGCTTTTGCAATGCATAACTATTCGCCCTCGTCCATTTTTTGCCTCTTCGTCGTCGCCTCCTGACTGCCGCCGGAAACTCGGGACTCGTCGCCGCTTGATGCGCCGGGCTGCACAAGACGGCCAGAAGATGTAGCGGAGGGCAACGCGTCGAATGCAACCTCGAAGTCTCGTTCTACTTCGATGAGTACTGCTTCCACGGGTTTGTGTCCGAGTTGAGGCTTTGTAGTTTGTATCCATAGCAAAGATATCTGGGTCTGTAAGTTTCCGAGATGGTGATAGTGTGTCCACTGGGAGTATACAAGAGCAAGTACACTGCATGAGCACCCAAAGCTGAAGGCTTTTTCCTTTCGGAATTTTTCATCCAGCGGCCCGCGAGGCACTGCCGAGCCTTCTGAACGAAAATTCCGTGAGAATTCCAAATGTTTTGGGTCATGCGGAGAAGCAATCTGCATCACAAGCCTCTGTGTAGTGTTCCAGACCAAGACGTGTTTGCACTGGATAACTTGGTCGCTCAAAAATGCGTGCCGGTCGGCTTTTGTCTCCCCCAGGGTGCCAGCGCGACCGCAAAGCAGGACGTGGCGGAAACTGGAAACAATGTCGCGCCACTTAGGAGGAAGGACTACTGTATGCATTGCAAATATCTTTTAACTTGGGGTCCGAAATGGAAATTACAATGCAGGGTTGGGATGCTTGCTGCCAGTCGCACAAAAATCAATACGATATCAAATCTGTATGTTTGTCGATGTGTCGAAAAGCACGCACGCACGCACTTTCTGCATCGCTCTCATGCAGGATAGGTATCGCCAACCAAAAGCCACCTCCGCAGGTGGTTTTGTGATGCTGAGACACCGCAGAGTAATATGGATTTCGATTTAGATTTGGAGGGGCGGCTGCGCGAGAGTACTCCGTGCCAAGCAACATATTTGCATATAATACGAGGACTGCACACGTTCCACAGGGTCCTGGTGGCCGTCGAGGCCGCTGCTGCCCGACGAGGAAGTCGACGGTGGCTCCAGCATCCCGGACGACGCGACACTTTTATCCAAGAAAAAAACTGCGCTAGCGTAAGCGTGCATGCATGTGCAATGCAGCAGACCCTGCCCGGGCACATTGACGTTCACACTACACATGTCCTGTCAACAAAATAAAACATAGAACTATGCCGCATCAAAAGACATATTCGTAATTCCATCATGTCGGTTCTTTCAGATTTCTGAAATCTGATAATTTGTTGTTCAGGTTCCACTACCACGCATGAAAAGAATCAGCCTTTTCTGTGTCTGCTCAACGACAAATCGATAAAGTTGCAGTAACGCAGTTCTTGTCTGGGATAGCCTTCCTGCGCTTGATGCCTCTGCTCGATGCACTGGTCGTAGACCTATCCACTGCAAAACTATCGTATGCGTTTCGTCTTCAACGTCTTCGTACTACCAGTAGCAATGATGCATGACAAGTTTCGCTTCGTCTCAGGTTACTTAATTCACATTATTGCAGATTCTTTTCGCTTTTTCACGGCAGCAATCGCCCAGTTCTTTTTTATTCATTTTTTTTTTCCTATCCAATCAATGTCAATCATACTTCTACCGCGGCTGCCATGACGCAAGAGTACTTTTGCAATGCGTAATACTTTGTCCATGCCGACCTTCTCTAGAAACTTGACACCACGCAGGAGCGCTCGGGGCGCGGCGCTTGGGGATCCCTCCAGCAGAAGTGTAGACCGGAGGGCCGCGATCCGCCGAGCAGCTGCATCGAAGCCGGCGTGGGTAATCTGCTGCGCGTCGATGAAGTCGGCAATCACCGTGAAGGCCAGGCTGGTACAATAGACGCGGTCCAGCACTTATGCGTTGCAGAAGCATCGCACTCGTAGTAAAACTTCTAACTAATTCACGCATTACAAATCTCGTCCTCAGCCTCATGGTAGATCCGCATTACAGAAAATTTTCCATGCGATTACGATCAGTACTGCGATACTTTTGCGCAGGATAGAAGTTGCGTTAGTGTCCCTAACAACCACAACCAGTCGGCGTAGGACTCATAGTCGAGGGGTAGGTCTTCGTGTCTCCAGAGCCCGTCAGGTGGCGGAAGCGGCCCTCCCATCACGGCCTTTCCTTCGACCCGCTTTATCAATCGGGAAACAATGCTACTCAGAAAGACGGGCCATCGTATCTGTTTTTCGTGCCTTCTCGGGTGGAAATTGAGTGGTAAAAAGAATCAACATGAAGCGGAGTTGTCAGAGTCAGCAGTGAAATTATGTTTGTGTCCTAACTACTATGTTACCTCAAAACTACACTCCACACGCTGTTGTATCTACTTCTAATAAATCTCAATTGTTTAGAAGTATTCAGATTCGCAAGGGTCAAATACAAATGTTGAAGCCAACCTCCTTGACTTCAACTTCTGCTTCTTCTTTGTGAGCTTCAGGTCCTATCAACGAAAAAATGCAAAACGTACTGCCACCATAAACCATGGCGAAGAGTGACGCGTCGCCAGATGGCCAACGAGCAGTTGCCGCCATACTTTATATCTCTTCCATGGCCGTGTTCTGAGAAGTTCCAGACAGAGTTTGCTGTGCATATTGCCCAACGCAGGAAACAGCCGACGCAGCTCCGTCCAACCCCTGCTGCACAGCTCGGCAACTGCGGGCAAATCTGTTCCAGCGCTCACACCCCAGAACGCGGCAGGAGATTGCTCGGTGATGTGCATACCGAACGCGGCTTCCACGAGGCACCAGGTTCCCGGCCGTCCCTTCTTGTACATACGCCATGGCTGCGGGGGAAGCTGTTGATATGATTTGGATTCAGATTCGCATTCAAAATCAAAGCCGCAACATTATGTTTTTGCTTCTGGAGTAGCGATATCGCCCTTTGCTTCTGGCAACACATGCGCGGGGACGTCAACTACCACGACGCAAGCGACTGCGTGCGCTCATCTATGTTCATCGAAGAGAGTTAGCAAAGTGCGCCCACTTCGCGCGTTGATACCTGCGGCGACGCTTCTCCCGCAAGGAACTCCGCTAGTCCTCGCTGCTGCTCCTCAGCCAGGACATCCAGGAAGCTGGTCAGCTTTTCCTCCTTAGCGAGCTGCGCAAGCAGAACGCCGACCAGGCTCCTTCTGAGCTCGTTATCGCCCCACAGTATGCGGGAGTGGTCGCCTAGCTCCGTGTGCAAGAAGATCCGCAGCGGAAACAGTTCCGCGACCGCAGACACATCCACCCGCAGTCCCCCGGTTTGCATCGCTGTGCGGAAAATGCTCGCGATCAGCGTTGGGTCGGTATGCTGCAGACTGTCGATCGGCAAGCCGGACAAGAGGGCCTCGGGTCTGGAAATAATGCCGTAGTCGGACAGCAGCACGCGCTGCAGTGCTGCTAGGATGTATTCTCCTCGTAATCTGCGTGCCACGTCAATGGAACCTCGCTGTTTTGTTGTACTTGAAGCGCTGCTCGCTGGTGCTATTTGGTACATTTCCTCGTCTTCTGCGCCGTACGTAAACCACTCTTCGGGCGACAGCTCGAGGAGCGCGAAATCGATGTTCGCGAGGCGCGAGTTCTCCAAGAGCACTTCGTTCAGCACCAAGCTTTTCCCGGCGATGAACTCGCCCAGCCCGAGAATGTCCCTGAGCCACTCCATGACGCTGGGGTTCACCGCGTCGTACGTTATGACTTGCCCGAAAACGTTAAGTCGGAAGTTTGCGAGCCACAGCACAGGCATGCTCTTCACGACGGAGCGTTCATCAGCATCTAAAGGAACATCAAACACGTTGCACAGTTCCTCCCACTCGGGCGCCAGATTTGTGTACCGGGCCCAGGACAGCCCGAACACGAACGCCCGTGCCTTCTTCATCGGTAGCTGTTCGAAGCAGAAACGAAAAAAGCAGTCGGCATTCTCCCTCGATCTGTCAGTGTCAGCAAAATGTTGCCGAAAAAACATTGAGTGGGCCGCCTCCTGCTTCAGGGGGTTGATTACGCAGGACGACGACCACTTCCTGATCCAGTCTACGGGTTGCAGTTCACCACCTCCTGCTGTATTGCTAGAGTCCAGTCCTACGGGCTGCAGGCCGTCTATTCTTCCTCCGGTATTGTTCGTGCTAGAACTTCTTGTCGTCGTCGGCACAACCAAAGCAGCATCCGCCAAGTTCCGTTGCTGATCTTCGCTGGCATCAGATGCATCTTCAAGGTTGCTGCCCAAAGCCGCGTTTCGGGGAGAAGAGGAATTTTCGGGTCTTGATCCACCAAAATTTTCCAAATCGCCATCGGAGAAAAGAGTAAGACTGGGTGTGTCGTCCGGAACATCCTCTATTTGCTCCATCACCCCTTCCCATGTGCCGACCATGTCCTCAAACAACACCGCCAGCTCCCCCAGGATGATCCTCTCAAAGTCGACGCTACACTGTCGGAGGAGGCCGCCGTCTTCGAGCACGAGCGGAGAACGATGCAGAGGCGCGGCTTCGACGACTACAAAAGTGTAGATGAAGTCGCACTGAACAGGATCGAGGTCCGACAAAAAAGGTTCTTGAACTGCGTCGATAGTACAGACTTGGACCGGTAGCCAAATCTCGTTTTCCGGGTCCACACTGTTCTGCGGAAAATTTCGGAGGCAGAACCCGATCGAGTCACCGTCTGCTATCGGGACTGAAGTACCCGGCGAAAGAACAAAGGGAGACTCTTCTTGTCCTCTTTTCTTGAGCTGCAACTCCCAGGACTGTGTTTCAACGAGGTCCTGTGGTCGTGGTCCCGCCTGTAGCATGAACTGCCCGCCCTGCCAATCACCGACCTCTTGCTCTTGAACAAGTTCACGGGCTGCGGCCTGTCGTCTTTCAGTGTGATCTTCGGGGGACGGACCACATCCGATTGGGCTTCTGCGGAGAAATTTCTTGGCCAGCTTCGGCTCGGCACCATTCGTGTGTGACTGCCCGTCTTCTCTGACATTGAGACAAACCTGTTACGTACAGACGAAAAAACTCGTTCTCAATTTCTTTCCCCTCTCTGATGTGCAAGGGTTAGAAGCGAATAAACAAAAAAGCAGATGGAGATGAAGAGAAAAGGAAATAAGGGTGAGGCAGTGCAAGCGCAGTTACAAAAACCGATTTGATTGAAAAAACCAAAAGTCAACAACAACAGGTAACAAGTACGGTTCCATCGCCGTGAGCGCACAGCTGGGCGTACAGGAACGGCCCCGGAAGCGACCGAAATAGCTGCACTTTCTGGCTCGTCTCCGCTGAGTCTGTGTCTCCAAAAAGTTGGATGAGGTGAGTGCCGCTATTTGCACCTTGTGCCGCCCCCCAGATATTGACTTCACGATGCGCGCCTTCAACAAAAACACGATTGCAACACCAGACTTTTTCGCAACGCCGCAAAAACCAGGAAGCGCTGCATGGTGGATCGGTCTTCGCCGGAACGGGGATCTCCAGAAACGAGCCGGACACGGACTCGTTGGCATAGTGCAGAAATCCGTGTTCCGCTGCCTCCCTGGTGTTTGATGGGAACTTCAAAACGACTTTCCGTTTGCCCGTACAATTCTCGATTTCACCGGAGCCACGAGAAATTGCGTCTGCGCTGCGGCTGCTTGTACTTCCTGGTTTTGCACTTTGCGACGCCGCTCTCTCCTCCACTCGCGAACTTCCGCTCGCCGGCGTACTCTCGCTGGCCATCATGTTGCTGCAGCTCCCTGGTGTCGGTGTGTAACGACTACTGGTACTGCCCGCGACGGACACGGAAGGTGTTTCGCCAGTTTTTTCGCACCGCCATTTGACACTTATGCAAGGGAAAAAACAGCACAGCTGTCGTGTTGTGGTACTTACCTTCACATCTGTGTTGGGCAGCTGCGTGCAGTATGTGCGACTGTCGCCTACCGGTTCAAGTACTTAGTTTTCTCTGACTTCTTCGCCAGCCGGTAACGACAAACGAAGCTGGTCCGAGCCAAATTATATTTCGAATGCAAGACCACTACCTGTGCCTCTGCCTCTCTTGCTGTGCGCCAAATTTGAAAGCAAAATCAACCACGACAAGAAGAGTTCTTATGCGATGGATACTGAGATGCTCGGGTGGAAAAGGTTTCCCTTCGAAGAATCCCCCGAGAATTTTATGCACTGCAAAAATGTCGTACTCGTACCGTAGCAGTCGCTGTTATACATTACGCACCGATATCGAACTCTGAATCTCTTGTTCAAGGTAAATCCGCATTGCAAATCTAAAAATTTCTCATGCTCAAGAGGAAATTCACTTGATGTCATGCAATTTACCGTGGTACGTCTACGTGTACGATACTTTAACTGTTCTTGCACAGAATAAATTTCCCGTCGTGACAAATCCCGTGGGCTATGGCAGTCTCAAACGTGGTCACATTGAATAATCCCTTTAAAGTACATGACTTCATTCGCGTTGATTTGTCATGTAAGAACACCAAAAGCAAAAAACGCACGCAAGAACACCATGTTCAAGCTCGGTGCTATTTTGTGCAAAGGAGCCTTGTCTTCATGCGAACCAGCTTAGCTTCGAGGAATCTTTATCCTATCAGTCTATCTGATAGGTAGCGGCTGCGGCTTTGCGTGACAAATCAGGCGACATTCATCACGTAGCGCCAAATACTGCAACGTTTGAGATCGCCATAAATTCGCACAGTTTCGTTGGCATGATCGACTTTGACAACTATCTCGATTATCACCAGGAGAGAAGAACTGCCTTCGTCCAACCGTCCACCGTGGTCTAGAAGTACTATTATAGGGCACTTCCGTAGCTACAGCTAGGTTTGCGCGTACGACCGCGAGTCCGACTCGTGGCATTGATGTGCTCAATAAAGTTTTAGAATCAGACAGGTGGATGCACAAAGACGTCGTCAGGCACAGTCTAGAACAACTTCCATCATTCTGCGGAGCCTACAGAAGGGGCAAGGACCTCTGTAGTAGCTTGTAACAGTCAAGCTGATAGATAAATCACATTGTAAATCTGTGTTGCCTGCAGCACTGTATGCTGTATGTTGCGTCACAAAAAAATGCAAATGCAACTGCAAAAGCAAACTCATCAGAAGTTCCATGCAGGACAAATCTCCAACGGAGGACGTGGCGCTCGACGAGATGACGGCACTGCTTTCCTCTAAGATACCGTTATCGGCCATGCTATTCCCTGAAAATTTACCAGCCTCATCTATCTTTTGCATGGCGGAACCAAAAGTGAAGCCAGATCTTTTACTTTCATTACTAGACGTTATGTTTCGCATGATAGCTGTGCTCGATGGGAATGGCTCATTTTCAGGGGATACATGTTCCGTATCCGTATTGTCTTGCTCATGTTTTTGTTTTTGCCACTTGATACCGCGGTCTGGGAACGCTGGGATCTGTCTCCGCATGTTGCGAAATCCCGGAAAAAGGCCTCAAGGTCGTCATTCGTGACCGTGTCCACCTCACCAGCTGCTGGCTGAGGCAGGGAGAGACCTGGAGGTGGAGCCTCCATCTTCGCAATACCTATTCCCACATGCTGCTCCTTCTACACCTGCTTCTCCATGCTGCTCCTACACTGGTGGAGCCTCCATCTCTCACCACCTGCTGCTCCTACACCATGCCGAAACAAATTTTGAATACTCCGCCAAGCACGAGAAAGAATCTTCACTCATTGACGTGGAAAAAAAAACATCAGAAGGAAAAAACAAACCGATCAAGAACATGATATTAATTTTCGCTTTCTTGCAGAAAAAAAAACCGAGAATAAACCTCGAGCGGTCCTCCAGGAAGTAAGTAGGTCCAATTGGTTTTGGAAAAAAAAACATCAATGAAGGCGGTGATGACCGAGAGAGTCAGTCACTCAAGGTGCAAATTCCGCTACTTCTGCTTCAGCGTCGTCGTGGAAAGCGCATGCTGACTTCTTCACCGCCAAAAAGCGCTGGAACACAACGATAAAGGAATTCGTGGTCTTGCTCCGTGTTCCTTCTACTTTTGAAACCGCAAAGTGTGAAGGCAAAAATATTGCGAAATTCTACTGCTCCATCGAGACTGATGAAATTGTAATTGAAATTTCTTGAGAGTATAAATGATAGATTTCGTGGACAAAGTGCGAGTTAGTTTCCATTTTGATTTGTAACTACAGAGACCCAGTGCCAGTTTGTTTCCGTATTAAACCTTCGTAAAACAGTTCCAGTTTCTGTTGTAGGTGTTACCATGGCAACGACCAAATACAAGTAAATCAGTTGCTAGAGCGCGATCTTCGCGAGTCAAATACGACATCACACTGTTGATGACGCAACATGTAATAGCGAGCATGAGCTACTTCCTTAACAGCAAGGCGCTTCAAAAAATTTTCCTCCTTCGTCCTGATATTTATTGGAAAGAAGAAGAAAAAATCCGCGCGAACTTGCATAGGATTTTTCAGTTTATATGCAGCAACAAGTGCACCTTGTAACGACCAAAACCACTACAGGTGAGACAGATGTTGAACATACCCGGACACCCGAAACCGATGCAAATGGAGTCTTGTCAATCTCCGCACTGATACGTCGTCGTGTGTGCCTTTTCAAATTTGTTCTTCGGCAAGACCACCGGCCTTTCGGGTAGTTTCGGTGCTAGGACTGCTATTCTCGCAGCGTCGTTTGCCGGAGAGGTACGGGAAGCAAACGACGGGCACCGCTCTGCTGCTGCGCGGCTTGAGCTTGTCCAGCAGAGAGATGCTGTTGGACAGCATGCGCAGCTCCCTGCTGGCACAATCCGCAACCGCCGCTGGCCTAATAAACTTAGTCAAGGGAACAGCTACAGCTGCACCTGCAGTGACGGGTAAAATTAATACGGAGCCTGAAGTTGTCTTGTTCGTCGCTGCTGTGGTGGGAAACATGCTGACTGCGGTTAAGGAAGAAGTCGCGGCTGCAGTGCATGGAACCGAGGCCCCTGGCATCGTCCTCCGTTTCCCGTTTGTTCTACTGCTGTCCACCGACGGAGAAGCCGCTTCAGGGATCTGATTCATTGACGTGTCCTCTGCTTGCTGCGCGAACAAGCCGTCGACGTTCTGCTGCTGCTGCATGCTGTGATCATGTTAGTCCGCCGTACAAATCGCTGCAAAGCTCCAACTACATCAATCAGCAGGCAACACTCCCAGTTCCTCCAGCTCCGCCCATCGCAGCAAACTTCTTCCAATACGTCCCTTGCTCAAAGCGTACACGACCTGCAGCTTCAGCTTGCAGCCCATTTTACTTAGTCATCGTGCGACTTCGAAGACTTGAAGTTGCTGTCCTCAATGGCGCCGACAACACGGAGCAGCAATTGGTCGTGTGCGAACTTTACGCCAAAGTGGTGGCCCCTTTATCGGGCTCGTGGAGCAGGTCGGAAACGGGTCGGCAGGCATTCGTTAAGCGGGAGTCTGAAAGTTTGCAAATGCCGTCGTTCGTGGGCATTTCGTTGTTCAAGAAGGCGTTCGCCCGGGCCTCGTTGGAGAAGACGGTGCTGTCGGCGGTATCACAAACCGCACTCTGTCCACAAAATGCTCCCGCACTGCCCCTAGCTTCTGGTCGTCCACTTTGTATGATGCCGCAATCCCAGTGCATCACCAGCTCTCGAACAAGCATATCTACATCTCCCGCGAACTCAAGACGCGAACTTCAAGCGTCCGATGTATCGATACTTCAAGCCGTCCAGCAAAGTCCCAACCAGCGGCGGCGCAGCAAATCTGCACCGGAAACACATGATGTCCGCGTCCCGGCACCGGGAATCCTCAGTTCACGAAAGGTTGCATGATGCTTTGGTTCGACCAAAAGAGTGCTCTTGACGGAAACATTCCTTCGGAGCTGCAGGACCCGTATGAATTTTGATTTCAGCATCGCGCTCCTTTTCCTTTTGTTTCCATCATTTCTGCATTCTCCATAACGAGAACATAAAGATAGACCGCATCACCGAGTTTGGTAAGGCCTGCGTGTTGCTGTGCGTCCATTTCTGCTCCCCCGCACGGTGTGGATCCTCGTCTGCGTCGAGTCCCGTTTCGGCAGTGCAATTCGTAGCCGCAATCCACGGGCCGCAAATTCCCTTGTCCCGAAAATTTATCATTTGCATGCTGGGGCAGGGGCTGGGACGCAGGTACTGCCACGTAGTCCGGAAAAAGAACTAGGCCTCCCGCACATCGAGGCTCTCCTGCCTGCAGGCGGCACCGGAGTAGGTTCCGCTCATCGAGGCTTGGCCACATTGCGCACGGAGAAACTTGTTGGCAAGCGGCGCCATCCCCGCATTGCCCAAAAGAAAACTGCCCTAGCGGAGGTGCTCTTCACTTTCTCCTTGTCCTGCTCCCCCTTGGCAGTCGTCCGTGCACTCGTCGGCGGTCAGTGTGGCGACTGCGTGAAATTTTTTATTTCCGGCTGGGGTCGACGTAGGGGGAGACCGAGATCCGCCCTGATGCCCCGCGCGGTACGTCCACAAAAAGGGCGCTCTTTATGAAAGCACGCGTCGAACAATCGAGTAGCAGATCTGGTGAACAAGCTGCCCGTGTTCAGAGTCGTCTTCTCTGCATTTTCCTACATGGCGTCAGCACGTACTACACGCACATTAGGATCCACGGAAGCGCTGCTGCAAGGTGCGTTTGAAGGAAGCTTACGCTTTCGGCAGCTTGACCTCTGTCCCTGCGTTAGCGTTGCTTCCAAGAACTCGCGTGGTTTCCCCACATTGCCACTGCTGGGCCTCGTCCACAGCAGGTCCCGCTACAGATGGCGCTACCGCTACCCGCAGTGTCGCTATAGTATGCATTGTCCACAAGCTTCGCCGCCCGTTGACCTGCTGCTAGAAGATTCGTCACCATGCCTTGATGCCTCAGGACCCTCTGCCTTGATGACCTTCGCGCACCCCGTGGGACATTGATACCTGCGATGCTCGCGCCAGCAGAGCTAGCTGTGGTGCCGCCCGCTGTTGCGTCGAGGTCAGCTTTCGGAGGTAGGGAGTTGTTTCCCTCCCATGTTGAGTCATCATCGTCGGCCACGCTAGTGTCTTTCACCGTATGGACAGTTGAAATCGCGTCACCGGCTTGATGATGCGCGGCAATATTTCGAGCACCGACCGCTTTTTCCTCCACGCCATCAGCAAAGAACAGATTCTGGAACGCATCTGTGCCATCATACGCTCTATTTGGCCCTTTTGTACCCCCCCCCCGGCAGCACGGCTGGTATTGCTCCCTGCGAACCGTGCTCCGAACGACAGACAGCTGCGAAAGGCAGTCTTCGATTGACAGGAAGCCGTAGTTGCCCTTGCTTCCAGCGCTGAAGGAAGCTCCTTCCGCCGGCTCACCGCGGCTCGCGAGCTTGCCGTCGAAACGTCCATCCTGGTCATCGCTATCTTTCTGACTAGCTGCTATTTCTTCGCCCGGCCGCTCGAGTGTGCCTCTGCATGATCCCCGCAGCCGCGTCGTTAACGAATCAAGAGTGCTTTCGCCTGGTGGGAGAGAAGGAGGTTCTTGTCGGTGGTATTATAGATCGCTCTGTCCACGCGCTTCCGCCTCGCTGTCCGCTGCTGCTGGTGGTCTAATATGTCGCTCAGCTTTGGACCTGGCATCGCATAATCAGGCTCACCTTGCTATGTCGCTCACCTTTTCTGCATCTTCCTGTATGTTGGCGTCACCGAGAGATGCCACAAAACGAGAGATGCTTGCGCCTGGTTGGAGAATTGAACGGCGATGGTACAAAGAGCTGCACTCACCTACTGCTGCCTCGCTGCCTGCTGCTGCCGGTCGTGGTCGTCCATGTGGCTCAACTGCTGCTCGCTCTGCTCGCAGAGATGGCGTTCCTCTTTACGTGCGCTTGCGGAGCGAGAGGTGGTGTTCGCTGCAGTAGTATTTGCGCCTTCCTCGCGGTTTTATTTAGCAACGACTCGTCACTCCCGATCCACTCTTGACTGTTCTTGCGTCGTGGAAAGACAGCACGGCCAACCCAAGCACAAGTCGTTACAATCAATCGCAGTCACTTCTTGCGCCTGTCTGCTGCGCTGCCCCAGTTGCGTCTGCAGCCTTCTTCACCCTGAGGCCGCAATCATCGCAAGTGTGGCCCCAAGTTCTGATCGTCGGCGCTGTAGTGTGTACTTACTCATACATATAGTTTAGTAGATAGACAACTCTAGTATTTGCGTAGCCCGGGTCCAGACTACCCCGAGGGCATACCACTAACATTACCAGGGGCCTACTGTTTTTGGTTCGCGTTTTAGTGTTGCCAGTCTTGGTGCAGAACGGCGTCACCATACTAGATCCTTACTCGCCCTCATCATCCGCATCAGCATATGTTGCTAATTTATTACTGAGTACCGCGCAAGTTTATGACGGTATTTCGCCGGGCTGTCGGAAGCCTCCTCGGCGGCTGCGTGCTGCGGTGCCTCCGCGGTAGTAGTTCACCGATGTCCTTTTTTTCTTACACCGATGGGGGCCGGCGCAATGCTGCCGCTGCCTACATTGAAAAAAAACCGAGAGGAAGCAAACATCTTGCGCCGAAGCAACCGACCTTCCGACCATGGCTCGCGTGAGGATTCTTGGGCCGCAGCTAGGCTGTAGCTACTGCTTTACTTTCTTCGCGCACCACTCACTCGCACGCCCACTGAGATATATTATTCCTCACGCGTTACAGTTACTTGGGTGGCGCCCCTCACTCCTCTCACTCAAAACGAACCACACAACCGAAATCGTAACGACGCACGCCGCTGCGGCTGCGTTAATGCTGCAGTCTGCGTCAATACTGCAGCCCGCAACCAAGTCTTTTTGGCGGCGCCGGCGCCGCATGTGGATGCTCCTCGTGGCGGCGCTCGCACTTACAGACGGCGAAACCTGAAGAAGTGTTTTAGTTTTTTCTTCCGAAGAGCCAGAATAAACCTTGGAATGCGGCCGATATTTTTCCTAACAACCCTTCGCATTGCGAAAAGGGAAGTTAGCTAAGGGGCGCAAGGCTGTTTATAATTACAGTGTATGCAAGTCGCTGTAAAGGCACTATCACTAGAAGACGTAAGACAGGCCTCGCAAATGCACGAACGTGCTTGTTGCATCAGTATACGGAAAACAAAATGAAAAAATCATTGTTTGATCGAGCTGCCTTGCTTGTTTTTTTGTTGCAGTTACTGCAGACGCACTACACCAGCAGATAAAGCGCATAGTGCATTCTACGCAGAGACAACCTGCGTTGTTCGTTGTACGGAAGTAAAGTGCATGCGCCTGCCGCACAAGAAGGAGCAGCAGACGCAGCGTACAAAAGTTCCAACTGGATTTTCTATTTTTGGCCACCAGTCGTAGGCGAGTCGCAAAAATTCTGCAGGGCAATACTAATAGACTCCAAAATACTTATCTGATTTTACACAAGACAAAGAGCGCCCAATTCGGTTCTGTCGAGCGTCATGGATTAAACAACCTTTGCGATTTTGATTTACATTTTCAGATCTGCTTTTTCGGGCGCGAAAGTTTCGGGCGCGGAAGATGATCTTTAGACCCAGGTCTAATAAGTAGTTGTAGAGCCGCAGAAATCAAATGAAAGTGATCGACCAACCGCTTTAAATTGCAAAGGAGCCCATTTCTAAACGAAACCGCACTCACATACCAAAAGTCCAAAAGTTGTCATAGTTCTCTCTAGAAGCATGATCTCAAACGCCATGATTCTTGTCGGACTGAATCGTTGGTCTTGAACTAGCAACAGCAAGAATTTGCTGAGGACATCGATAAACTGAAATCGAGTGCGAGTCGCATGATCTTTCGGTGCTGTCACTCCAGAGTCAGTCCTAGGTGCATTTTTGACTGCTCTTGGTTGTTCTTTTGCGATTTTGAAGTTGACGGCAGATCGTTTCAGAATGGGGCCGAAAACTACAACACCTGAACCGCAGGCACTTACTTCCTCAGAACGAATCAATACATTCATAGGACCACAAACACGTCGTACACAGGTCGCACAGCCGCAACTTGATTGAGAGTGCGACGAAAGCCACCTCATGCTTTCGAGACTACATTGAAACCCGGCGACAAAGTGCAGTTTCTGTCATGATGAGGGGATGATCAAGACACAATATTCGACTTTGGGGATGATCTCGATTTGCAGCAGCTTGCGTCAAATACGAAACAAATAAAAAACATGAGGATTTTATTCGTATTCTTGCCGAACGCGGAGGCGGACTGTAAGTGACCCCATGCCGCTATGTAGTGTGGCTGTGGACAGAGTGGTCCGGGTTGCAGCGAAGCCTCGTCCTCTGCGAGACTACCGGACTTGTCTCGCCACGCACGGCAAGCATTGTGAGCCATCCGCAGATAGGAAGTTCGTCGCCTGCCTCGGCGGCACACGGGGCTCTCGAGCCTCTTTTGTGATGCACCAGCGACGCGCCTCTTCGTAATATCTTCACTCTCCAGCCGCAATCCGGCGTCTTGTGCATTTCCTCCACTCTGTCATAGCGCTTGCGAATCTTCTACAGCGACGGTCCACAACCAAGAAGCTGGGTCGTGCGACCGCAGCACAGCACACAAACCGTCTGCAGCCTAGTTTCACTGTGCCTGCAGTTTTCGCTTGGGCACCGCACTCCGAGTGCGCTCGAAAGACGAGGGGACGATCGTCTTCACCGAAATCCACGTGTAGTGCTTCCACTGCATCAACCTCGGCTGAGAGGTTTAAGCTGAGGCTTCCAAGCCACCATAGTATTAATCGCCGTGGTCGTACCCCAGAACGAGAGAAAAGATGAGCAGAACGTGAGTGATAATTGGCGCTCCCAGTTGTCGTGCCGGAAATTCAGCGAAATGAGGACATCGGCGGCACCACAGGCGGCTTCTTGCGCGTCGGACGGAACGCAGACGCATTGCAACAACCACCGGCCCCTTCAGTCGTGGTCCTCCACGGTCAGGCTCGATGACGACGAAGAATTTGGAAGACCACCTGCCTGCTGGTGCAGCGTCGATTTCTGTTCTGTACCCGAGCCGGCCACGGTGGCAGAAATCTTCTTTCTAGGCTTCTTTGGAACTTTGTTGTGGAACTTGAATTCGCTGACACCGCTGAACGAGGGTGCCAAAAATGGCTCGTCACGTGTGGTGCTACTTTGTGCAACCGGAGTGTCGCCTCTTGTTCGCAAATGGTCATCAAGAAGAGCAGGACGCGACGTTACCGAATTTTCCGCCTCCGTCAGCACTTGGGTGTCGACAGAAGAAACTTCCCCACCGTCGCACCCGCTCGACCGTGTGCCTTTTCCATCGAAATCCACCAACGTTTTAGATGCAGAAGAACCCAGCTCTTTTTTTGGAAGAGCGTGTGCTACGGAGGTGTGGCTCGGTTCTAGGAGAAGACACGTACTCGCGTCCTGCGCTAGTATCTCCCGCTGCCCCGCGTTCTTGTAACTCTGGCGCATTCGCCACGTTCTGATTCCTCGATAAGCTGTTCCTCCTGCCGTCCGCGGGGTTTCTCGTCGGAAGTACGGAACTTTCTTCGCCTGAATACCGTACAGGCGATGAGCGTTCCGTTCGTTTGCCTTCAGTACTTCTTCCGGTGTCAGATCTTTCACTGCGGCAACGCTACTTGCAATCTCCAGAACGTCTGCCGGTCCACCCGTGTTTACCGTGAAATGCGGCGAGTCGGTTTCGAGAACAATGCGATCGATCGGGAGACGCTTGACCATGTCGACTAAGTTGACTTTTTTCGCGCGCCCTTGAGTTGTGTGCCAGGAGGCTGCGTTCATCTCGGAAACGCGGCTGGAGCCGCCCGAATCGATGTCCTCGGTCATCTGATTCAGAAGTTCCCAATCTTCCGCGTACGGAAACGCAATGTAGCCGCTCACACCAAAGTACGCGTTCGGAAACTCCCGGAGAATGAGGTCGACAACTCGGGGCGAGGCGATGGCGCTATGCCAATGAAAAGAATGCTTCCGCGGCAACCATTTTAGCAAGCATCGCACGAAGTCTGCCTCGCAATCGCGGGAGTGAAACTGGATTGGAAGATCCATCGCGATCGCAACCTCGATGTTCTCCCTGAGGATTTGTTTTTGTCGTTCGATTATGCATTGCAAAAACATCGTACTCTTTCTCGTACTAAAAATGTTGACCAAAGTCATGCATTACAGAGCTAGGTGTAGGTGTCAAGGTAAATCCGCAGTACAAATTCAATTCGGAATGCTGCTGGAATTCGTAATGCAATTTTTACTGCTAGTACGAGAACGATACTTCTGCAATGCATATCGATCTCTCCTGCAAAATCCTCGCCGACGTCCGGCTCGCGTTGGTAATCGGAGTAATCCAATCCGCATTCCTATGCACTGGAAAAGCATCGCTCGTATTACGTGTACATGAATTGCAAATACAAATTTTCATCTCGTCAGGTGAACGTGAAACAAAAAAAGAATTTGTCTTCATGCTATTCATTCAGCTAGAAAATTAGATTTGTCCGGAAGAACTGAAATTATCAGTACCAGTACGATGCTTTTGCAATGCATACTTCTCCCCATGCAACAACTTGGCCCTCGCAACGCTGCATCGCATCGCGAAATAGTGTGACCAAGTCCGAGTCCCATTCCCACAGGGCACGCTTGGGGTGGGCCCCGAAGGAACAGTAAATGTGGCCCGCGCCGAGCTTCACGAGCCGCACCGTGTCCTCGATTGCTGCAGCGTCGCAGCACGACGTGATCACCGCAAACGGACCCGAGAGGGCGAGACCGAAAAGCGACCGCTGCAACTCCTCATCGGGAACATCGCATCCGCGCCGCCCATCGAGAATGAACTCCACGTGGGCATGCGTATCAATGAGTGGCAGATCATGGAGCTCGTCCGGAACTGGAAGGTGAATGATTTTTATATACGTTGTTGATTTGCGCGAATTCATCAAATTGGGATTGGGACTGGCATTCATTGGGCCACCAGCAGTAGTAGAAAGGTAGTAGAAACTAATGCGCCAAGAAAAAAGAAAGGAGAAGAACAGATTTCTTCAAAAACATGAATTCTGATACGACTACACGAAGTACTAGAAGCGCAACAAAAGTGAATCTAAGTTTTACGTAAAGAAAATGTCAAAGAAGACAAATAGGTTCAGCTTTCCGATAAAAAAATTCACTAAATCACAATCTGTTGATACTTGTGCAACTGCTGCAAAACCAGTTCGAGCCCCACCATTCTCCTACGACGGTGTTATTGCGTGGTTCGCAACAATATCAGGGCCAAATAAGTGTGGGTCTGGAAGATGAATGCGAGATTCGTCAACATGCCGATTTTGGTTTTCCAAGACCGGCGATGTCTGTGATGCATGTGTTCTAGTATCACAGATTCTGCGACGGCTCTCTGATGCTCATACAGCATGACAAATGCTCATCTCTCCGCGTAACAAAAACTGGACCTCTACTTTGGCTTTTCATGCAATACAGCTTTTATGTTGAGATCAAAAGGTCGCATCGCAAGTTCCAACTTTCCAGACCCAGACAGATTTGCATTTGATAAACAGCACTTGCAGGATGCCTCGAGCGTGCGATCCTCCCGATCTTGCCGCAGGTACAATGTGCTTCCCCGGAAGAGTTGCCCGTTCACCAGTTGTATTGCTAACTGTGCGTGCCTGAGCGTCTGAAACTCGAGGACGGCCCATTTTTTGCCGTGCCCTTGGTAGATGTTGACGTAAGTGGGTGCTGCCTGCGTGATGCAGCCGATGAAGTCTTTCAAGTCAGTCCACGTCGCCTCCTCGTCGCAAATATTCAGAGCAATGAGACGATTCGTGCGCGCTTGTTTGAGTCCCTCCGCCTCCGGACCGTTGATGAGATCCTCTTCATGCCCCCGCACCCATTCCATGCTGAAGGGCCAGAATAATCACGGTAAGCGCCGCAGCACGAGGGAATAAAGCAGGGAGGCAGCCACAGCTGCTGTGCATGTGCTGCTACTTCTGGTCTGCTAACCGCCGAAGGCGGGAACTCAGGATGCTGGAGGATGCATTTTGTTTTTGCACTGGAGGTTATTGAAATTGGCACTCAGTGTGTGTTTCGTGACGTGCAACTGCAGCAACAATTGAGTAAAAGTTATAAAGTACTAGGAGCAGCCATGGTGGAGAGTGAATATCGATATACGCGCTCCGTCGACGTTCTTGTTGCAGCACCAGCACCAGTGTGATGCATGGTAACAAGAAAAATTTGATGAAGCTGCAGCTGGGCTCGCTAGTAGTCACGGTATTTCAGAAACGTTTCTATGTATCCATTCTATTTCTTCCTTTTAAATGAATTCAAAAAAGTGCGCGACCACCACCTTGTAGGCTCCACTATTCTCCCACAGGGAGTTCGACCTGTGCACGACTAGTTGATTGTTCTTGACTTTCAGTAATTGGTAAATCTTCAGTGTCTTTTGAGATTCTTTCATGTGGAGAGAACCCAAATTATACCAGAAACGAGAGCAGCAAGGCTGCGAACAAAATGAAGAAATTCTAATTCATCCAATAGCAAACTGATGATTTTATTTCGAAGCTCCTGCATCTGCGCGACTAGGGTTTGGAGGACCTGCACCGCTTTTATTTGTGCGTTCTCCCTGTGTTCTCCTCGCTCTCCCGGAAGAACGCGATGTTGCAGCCCCCTATCTTTGGAGACACAAACAACAACTACTTTTGGGCATGATGCAATTCGAGTTTTTCCTTTTCCCATATGTCAAATTGTAGTTTTTGATCCGCCGCTGCTGTCGGACCTGGTTTCGAGCTAGCACTAAGTCGTTTTTGCGGTAGAAATAGAGACTGCTCTGTGGTTCTGTATCTGTACTTGTATGTAGAAGATAATTATACGGGGATCCGTAAAACATTCTTACCAGTTGCAAATAGCAATACTAACTCGTCCAGCTACGTGATCTTTCAAATCAGCAAACCGCGAGTACGGGCCCGCTAGGCGGGCTCGACAGCAGTATACACCCCACCCGCTGCTCCGAAAAACCATCTCCCGCCGACCAGATATTCTTCTCGCCTGGATCTCCGGTCGCAGCGGCGCCGCGAAATTGCGAATACAAAACTGGGATCGTCGACAAGCGCCACCAGGTCTGGATTTGTCTCCGACATCGCCCATTTTTTCCCCGCTATCGAGTTCACCAGTCCGGGAGATGTGTGCAAAAGAAAAAATGATGTGACATCAGGATGAGCACTCGGACCACAGCAGCAAAGAGAAACTCAAACGTCGACATGCTTCGTCAAGTATCGGTCACTGTCCTTGCCTCTGCAGCAGCCCGAGCCTGAGGACATGCATTACTTTCATATACATAAAAGAAAACATGATTTTTTTTTTCCAGTCGTAGACCGAGAGTGACATAATTTGCTCCACATGCTCAAACTCAGAATTTTCTATTTCGACAAGAACGCGCACACAAAAAACGGGGTCCACTTAGGGAATGTGAATGACCGTAAAAGATACAGAATAAGCTGCACAAAGACAAACATCGATCATAGAAACAGCTGTGAGATTTTTCGAGCTTGCTTTGTCTTATCGCCGTGGCATGACGAGGTCATCGGCCTCCTGGATGCACATCACCTTCGTCCCGATTGGTAATCGATGATGAGCTCCTCCTTCGTGTCGTCTGCATCCCCCGTAAAGCTCATATCCAAAGCAAAAGCTTTCCAGAGTAATCGCCAGATAGGTCGCAGCTCTCTAGAAGTAGAAGACAGTACTATGCGCTATTTCTATTTACCAACTTCGTGTTCGTCGTAGACAAAGAAATACAGAAAGTCTCTCACTACTCACCACGACTTGGAGCTCTATCTGCGCATGCCACTTTCCGTCGTGCCGCTCGTGCTCAGCGAGACTGAAAATGATATTTCTGCTGCCAAATCATGCCAAAACCGTAGCCGAGCCTTTGGTTGACTACTCCAGCACGGCCTTGAATAAAAGACAGTCTCGCTGTAGTTTATTTGTGTGGTAATATCCTGTGCAAAAGTATCTTACTCATTACACTCTTTCTCGTATTAAAGTTAAACGCAGTCATGCATGACAGATCTGGTATGGCTGCGATGAATGCGTACCCAAAACTTCATAAGTATACAATTTGCATCTTGTTCTGCGAAGAACAAATTGTCTATATGCAATTTGAATTTCCAGCATGCAAATATTTACGTTTATACTTTTACACTGCATACGTGATGTGAGGCGAAGCCGATATCTCTAACTTTGGTGGCACCATGAAACCGCCACCCCCTCCATTGATGACCGCGTCGAAACCTTCAGAAGTCAGATCTGAGAAGTCCAGTATCTGCGCTTCACCATCCGTACCGCCCGCGCGATTCCGATTCTGTGACAAAGAAGGATCTTTATCATTGCAGTCCTGCTCCTGCGAAGGCGGGGGTTCCGTGAATGACACAGACGGAGCCTGCCAAGTTTCGTGGTCCCGCGATTTTTCACTAGGCGACGACTCCATCGACACATCGGAGAGGTTTTGCGTCACAATTGCCTGGTTGGTCTCCGCTCGATCTGCTTCTTTCGATTTTCGGATCAAGTGCAAGTATGTCTGGGTCGGGATGAAAGCAGAATTTTGTCATGCAGCAGTTTTCAGGTGACACTGACGACCAAGAAGGTCTGGCGTTGCAACTGTTAGTCGAGAAGACGCTTCAATGCCTCAGCCGCTTTGTACAAACCTGCTTCTCCTTCTGAGACATAATTATACCAAGCATTGCAGTAACTGTAGCTTTCTTCGCTGCTCATGCATGACAGGTTTTTGCTCGATCTGAAGTGTGCATTTATAAGTTCGAATCTTCCCCGGCGACAGACACATGTTTACGCTTGATATTACCTGCAGATAGTGAACCGTCCTCGCCCTTGTCCTGTGATTGCAAGCACGGTGCTCCTGCAATATTAGTAGACAAAACCCTATCTGCGTCGAGAACTACGTCCTCGGCGTCTATGGCACGGTCCGCGGCGTTGTCCACATCCTCCTGACGCAAGACCGGCCGATCGCTCTCTACTGCGCTTGCCCCGCTGCTCCGTCGAGATGGAAACGCTTCGGTAACAACAGGCACGGCTACCTCCATGTCGTCGGCTCTTGATGGCTCCTCACACAGCAGAGCCGGGACTGCAGGTAGTACATGATTTGATGTCTTGGTGTCAGTTGCAGGTCGCGACGATTGTTCCTTGCGGAGGCAAGACTCATTCGTCTCACTGCGGTTTAATTTGTGGTTTCTTGTTTCGAGCAACGGCTGGGGCAACATGCTGCCAGCACCAATCTTGACACCGGGAGATCCATGGCTTGGGCGATGATGAGGAAGCTGGGATTGCGCCGTTGGTTCGCTCGGCTGCGACGGGGGGACAGAAGTCGGCTGGATCGTGCGGGGATCGGTAACGGCGCTTGACGGACGCGACGAGACTAGGCTTGCGGTAGCTCGGGGCCCGTGGTCGGCGAGATGCTGTAGGTTACTCGTCGCGCACGAAGTTGCTTCCTCGCCGATTGCTGGGTCTTGCTGTTGCTGTCGTTCATCCTCTGACACTGCCGGCATACTAGGACACGACACTCGACAACGTATCACTTTTGCCTCCGCTTGTTCCTCCGGCGCAATAGTAGAACCAGTCATCTTGTTCTGTGCGACGATTGAATTACAGGACCTAGACTCGGGCGTAATCGTAAACCCCGGACTAAGCTCCTCCATGAATGAAATTGCCGCCACCTGCATTTTGCTGCGAATTCGGTCTGCGTCCTCCTTTGCAACTTGCACCTCGAGCCGCAAGGCGTCTTCCCTTGCACGCGATGCTTCCCGCAAATCTTCCAGTTCCTGTGCCTTTTTGGCCTCGAAATCGCGCACTTGCTGCACACTCTGAGCTTTAGTTTCCTCCACCGCCTGCTGCAGAGTTCGTCGAAGCTCTGCCACTTCTCGTTCCTTCTGCGCCTTGTACTCCGCGAAAGCCTTATCTTTCACCTGCAGTTCTTTGTTCGTCTCGTTTGCGGTAGCCATTTCCCGCGCTACGACGTGCGTTTTTTCCTTTTCCAGTATGGCAAGCCGAATCTGCAACGACTTGTTTCTTGCTGCGGCGACCGAGTCAGCTTGACGTAGGGCCTCTTGCAAGCGTTTGCATTCGTCGCACTTCCGTCTAGCGGTGAAGACCGAAGTGTGGTCTGCACTGCGCTCCGTAAAGAATACGTCACCGTCTTTGGAACTGTTGCACGTATCTGCATTTTTCGAAGACAGGTCTCCCTCTGCAGGAGCTGCTGGTGTGGAGATACAACTGCTTGTCGAGGGTACAATCAGGGTCGAGCCCCCTCGAGTCCCTGTGATCTCTGCTGCTTGTCCTTCGATATCGGTCCTTGCAGCTCCGTTCGCCTGAACAGGGTGAACAAGTTCAACATTTAAAAAGGCTTCTTGCTCGTCAGCGCCCATTCCGTAGTTCACCGAATCTGTACTAGCGGAGCCGGCTGGACGTGGACATTTTTCAGGAGCACCTGCAGTGCATGGAGCCGTACCTCCTCGTGCGCCGGAATTATCTTTTTCACGATGACGTAGTAGCGACGTGGGTCCAACACTCGCGGTTCGATCTAAGTTTTCATCACCGCACCGATGCACGGGATCCAGTTTTTCCGGTGGAGCCCCGCCGGCGTCGAGTTTTCTTCTTTTGCTATCTCGAGTTAGATCTGCAGTTCGCTTCAGCGACACGGTCCCACGATGCTGCTGTGCGTCCTCGGCAATGCTACGATTGGCCGATGAAGCTCCATCTTCCATTTCATGCCTTTCCTCCTGTTCTTGGTCGTCGGCCTTCTTTTTCTCCGCCGGATGTTGGGGACTGCGCATTAAGGAACTTCTCGATGTTGACGTTGGGTGCGTGGTATTACAATTATTGACCTGTAGTCGATAGCAGAGTCAAGTTGTATCTGAAAAAATTTGCATCGCCGTCAGCGGGCGGATACACCTCGACTTTTCCTTCGGTGTGGCCGAACTGGTCAAAGAGAACACAATAGTGCTCAAGTCGCTGAGACGAGAACAACCAATGTCGCTATGCCACAAAATGTTTGGATTTGAAGCTGGTGTTGGCATATTGCAAAAATATATGCAAGTCAAACGCACAGAGGCCGATATACAAATGCTATACGCGGCGACACCATGAAAAATATTAGATGACCGGCAAATAGGTGAGTTTCTGGCCGATCAAGAGTAAGTACCTGCGTGGTCCCCGTTCTTGTTCCTCGGTCTGTGCAGAAAGTTTCTGGCATCCTCTCCCCCGCGCCGCCTACATCTTGTCCCGAACTCGTTCTGGCATTTTTGCAGATATCTGCACTAGGAGAAACCGTCCTCACCACGGATGCAGCTCTGCCTTCCGTCACCTTGTCAAGCTGCTGCACTGGTCCCGTACTTGTCATGGCCTGCCGCAGGTGGCGTTGCCCCACCTTAGGTCGATCTTCGCGGTCCTGTTTTGAAAGGTGTGAACATTGCGGCATCGGTTCATGTTGAAACGATACGAGGGAAAAGTGTAGTACTACCTGACAGACCCGCCAACGCGAGCGGTTGATGCACATAGTACGCCGTCGCCGAGATAGTGTTAATATACATTGAGGCAGACGTGCAAGCAGGAAGACAAAATCAACAAAGTTGCCCGAAAATGGGCGATCCCTGATGCCGGAGCGAATGAACTATACCCGCCCCCGTGTTGCGCTAGTATACTTTTGAATCAGGAGCTCCGGATGCCGAGTACCGGGCTCGGAAGACGTTCCAGGCACATGCCCTTTTTCCACCCGCACAGCCGGCCCTTTGCCACTGCCTCGAGGTTTAGCGTGGTCGCCAGTTTTTTCATTCCCCTTGTCTGTGTTGGTCTGGTTCTCTAAATGCGCACCTACACCACCCGGCGGCCCGGAGGTCCTCGCGAACGGCAATGAATCTCTTTCTCGTCGCCCTGCTGCTCCTTGCTCAGGGTTTTTGGTGATTGCTTGAGCGGCAGTGGTCGTGGTCTGGAGTATTGTCATGCGTTTATAATTCGCATCGATGACGATTTTCTGTAGTTATTGCACCTCTTTTTCCGGTCTGTGAACGTATTGCGGCAGTCGCTCGGCCCAGACTCATGCTAAGAAAAATGCGCCAAAGGTTTGCACATGCGCAGAAGATGCGTCAGCAGCCGCCTGCGCTTCTGGCAAGCATCTTCAAAGCGTGCGACTTGTTCTGTGCCTATTGCTAGAAAACCTACCTGGCTAAGTCGTTTGGCTCCACTTTTGGTCGCCGGCGCAGGGGGCACTTTTGCGTTTTTGCTCTGGATGCAGGTTTTCGTTTTTCCTGTGCCACATTGTTTTCCAACTACACCCGAGGGACTCTGATTTTGAATTCATTTTCGATTCGCGGCGGTTGAGCAGACAACCTTCCACGTCAAAGAATATACCAGCTTCATTGAAAGTTGTACCAGTGTTGCTCAGACTATTGGAAACTATATTCTGCTACTAGCGCCCAACGAGTTCTTGCACGTAAATTCGAAACAAACTCAAGTATTCAAAAACGGGCGGCCAAAAACTATGCAACCTGCAACCACGACTACGACAGGTCGACTGCTGTGCTTCGCAAGAAACCATGAATGTCGTGAATCAGATCCTGCTATGCTCCTGCAACCAAATGGAGATGTACCTCATCGTGCGGTCTTTGCTGGAGATTGGGCCTTTCTTCGTTGGTTGGCCGCATCCGGGTTGTATCTTTGTCGGTGTTCGCTTGGGCGCATCCTTGCTTCTGCATTGCCTGCCGTTGCCGGTTTTGCAAGAGCAATGACGGAGCATCTTCATGGCGTGCCGAATCCATCGCAGTTGTAGCTTTTGTGCTCACCGATCTGCCACGCCTATGATTGGCGTTTTGCTGTTTCTGACTGCCCTGCTGTATTAGGCTGTCCTGTTGCCGAGTACTAGGCGCGAATCCAAGCCTCACAGATGCAGATGCAGATGCTGGTGGCGCAAGAGGAGCAGATCCTGATGTCGTCAAAGGACCGCCTTTCTCGCGGCCACTTTTAATCCTCCGATTCCCAGCGCCAGTGCTGGCCTGCTCTTGAGCGCCAATTTTAGCAACGCCTGAGACCACCTCTGAAGACGCTAAAACCGAGGTCGACGCTCCCATACGATCTCGATCTGGTTGTAGCGAGGAAGTGGGAGGTGGTACCGACTGCTGCAATTGCACACTACTGGAAGAGCTCGAGATAGGACCGCCCCCGCGAGCTGCGGGTGCTGTTCGGGAAACGGCGGGCTCCACAGCTTTCTTCGTCCCATGTTGGGCACCAATGCCGACAGCTATGCTGGAAGATGGCCTCGGGTTCATCTCGTTCATCTTCGGTTCAAGCCTTTCAAAAACAGCTGCGAAGTTAGTCGGCCCGGCGCTCGGCCGCCGTCTGTCAGCTACTCGGCGACACCCGTTGTTAGAATGGTCCGAGTTGTTTTTAGGCTGGGGCGCTGGGCTGTCCTCGAAAATTATGGTGCCGCCACTGGCACTGATGGCCTCCGGCGAGTCTGGTACAGGAGCCGGCGCATTTCTATTTCTGCCCCAACCACCACCTACAAACCGCGTCTTCATCCCCCCCTTCGCACCTACACCTTTTGCCTTATTTGCGCCGACCCTCGGAGGTGTGTTTGCGAGCGGCACACTGCCACCATCAACATTCCTGATACCTTTATAAGTGCCTTTCGAAACCTGGGCTGATGCTTGCATCTTGACGGATGATGATCACGCTAATATTCAGATTCGATTTTCAACAAAAAATCTAATGCTGCTGCATCTTGCAGCGCACACGCCTGCGAGATAATTCGAAACCAGTATCTATCGTGGCCGGTATAAATTGATTTTTCTTGACGAGCTTGAGTGTTTTAGATGCACATGCACAGCTGCTTGTATGAATAAATACAGATGTCTTCTATCTATCCTCAATACGCGACATGTTTCTTGCAGTCATCTGTCGTGCTGAAATGACGTGATCACGGAACTTAAATTCAGAATATGGTGAAAGTAAAAGTTGTTCTTGATGAACCACTTCACAAGGAATTCGAATTCGATGAAAGAGACAACTTGGAGGTGGTGCTGGTCACAACAAAACGGTAACAAGCTGTCCAGAACAAAAACATGATCCATGATCCCTGCTTTTTCCAACCGCGACCACCTCCTCAGCAAAGGCGCACACACATCATCAGGATACGCCGAAAAGCTGCGATCCGGTTCTTTTGGTTCTTCTTGCTGAACGCTGTGGCTGTATACGCAAGATCAAGAAAACAGAAACAACTCATGGGTGCGTAGCACATCTGCAACGCACTTGCCAAGCATCATCTGCTGCACCACATCAATTTATTGAGACTTTTCCTTTTCTGCATTGCAACGGGACTTCAGGATCAGGCTCAACGACAACATCAACATCATGTGGCTCGACGTTCTTGGGAATCTTTGTTGCGATAAAAAGAGCATTTTGCGAAGTCGCGCGCATCAACAGGTGAAAGTGGAAATAACCACATGTCACGTCAAAATCGAGTTGATCGATCATAGCACACAGCAAAGTAGAAATTCGGTTTCGGATCATCATCTTGCACAGCATGGATCTTCTGGAACTCGAACTGATAGGTACTGGCACCTATATTTGCTATTGTGAGTAGAGATACACGGTCTTGTTCAGTTGCTCTTACTGTCCTAAACCCCAAGTAGCGAACACGGCGGGGTAGCGGAACGCAGTCCGGGATGCGTTCGACAAAGAACGGAGGCAGACCAGAGTGAGATCTGGACTTTGCATATCTGTCAACTGCAATTTAGTGTTAGTAAATATCATATCATCATCTTTATTTTTTGTCATCTCTGCCGCGAGGTAAGATGATCTTGGTCGCAGGAGAAGTCCCTTCACCTCGATATCATCTTTCGCAGCGGCCTCTTGCCGCGAACCACTTCCGTATCCGTGCTGGTCGATGTACTACTCCCTAGCGGCAACGTTCCATTCGAGCCGAGGGTCCCGCTCGTCCTCCCCGACGGCTGATTAGAGCAACAGCAAGCCGCTGTAGAAATAGTTCAGAGATGCAACTGCAAGGACTCCACCTACGTCCAGCTCTTGCTGCAGTGTGTTGCGCAAACGAAAACTACGGACCTCTGCGTCGTCATGTTTATTCGCGAAGCAAATTCTGCTTCTCGGGTCAATTACCCTTCTTGCTCGCTCTTCACGAGCAGCGCAAGCTGCAAACACGGCTACTCGCATCTCTCTTCTGCACGCCCTGCTCTCCGTGCCTCGGAAAAATCACGGCTCACTCAAAGAGGAAAGCGCTTCATTGCAGCTGCCTGTCTCACTGGTGGTGCTTCGCCCGTCGAGCTTCGTTGCCCAGGTCAGTCTCTCACCAAGAAAGAACCATCTCGACGGCAAGAATGCGAATTCAAATTGCGTCGCGATGCAAAAGCAGCTAGGAAAATAAGCAACGCTTCGTCCGCCTCAGATGCACAATTTGCAAGTGCGGGGAATATATGCTGTTGCCCTCGGTTCTCTCTAAGCGATTGTCCTTTGTATTGAGACCTTGCGCACCACGGAAGAGGAAACACAAACACACGACGACACGAACAACATATATATATATAATCAACAGGCCACCCAAAAACTTGATGGGTAGTGTCAGTCCTCTTGTCGGGGCCGGTTCAGTTCTATTACGAGATACCAACGACAGTTACCAGCGCGGCACGGACGGGCCTGTACACAACAGCAGGCCACGGACCGCATGGTCAGAGGAGAGCTCGCCCCCGGGCAAGGATAATGAATTACCAGCACCCGGCCAGCCGCGAAACAACAGCGGCAGAGCCGGCGTGCAGACGCCCGGGGGTAAGCGGGTTACTGGCAACAGGCCCAGATAAACGTCGGGCCCGCGCCAAGGAGAGACAATGAGCGGGCCCAGACTAGTAACATCGGACCCGCACAGCAGGCAGGTGAAACGGGCCACAAAAATCGGGCCCGCCCCTTAGGCCTGGTTTGTGGTGTATATGATTACTCACAGTCAGCGCGCACCAAAGGCGCGTGTGAACGAGGGCGCCGCCCTACTATTTAATCTCCGGGCGGCAAGGAGATGCACAATGGGCAGGCCCCGCAATCGGTGCGGGGCGGCCCTGGCGCTAGGGGCGCGCCCAAAAAGGGCAGGCGCCGAAAGTGTTGGGCCCGCACCGCAGACATGCGGGGGGCCCGTAATTTATATAGACAAAGGGCAAGCCCCGCGGTGAGCGCGGGGCGGCCCCGACGTCGCAGCTGTCGTGGCGGGACGCGCCTCCGTTTTCCTCTCCTCTTGATGTAGCCGAGGAGATGATTTGAACGCCCCGCACTTTGGAACGGATAGCGCGCCTTGCGCATCTGTTTGCAGCTGAATCCCAGACGACGGGGGGCGGCCCCAAAAGCAAAAGGGAACGGCTCTGCGCGACCCTCTTCTCCTGCACGCGTAGCATACGGGAGCCGGCTTTTTTCTTTCATTCTATCCTGGAGAACGAAGCCGTCACCGAGCGGGAACGTTTTGCTACATGCACGATCTTGTGCCGCGTCGTGGCTCCCGCGTTGCTGCAGGAACAAGACCCGGCGCTGAGAAAAAGTTCCTCCGAGCTGATCACGGCAACCTTGGCGGAATGGGTAGCCTCTTCCCCGTTTTTGCTCGAGCGGCGTAGCACAGCTTGCAGGTGGAACAAGTGTACCACTTTGCATCGCCGGGCAAATGTAAATGATGCCGCAACGTGCTGACTTGCTGCTCGCTGGTAAATGCGCAATGCGCAATACAACCGCGACTGCGCGAGATGTCCGACGCGACGGCCGCGCATTTTGCAACAGGAAAAGTTCGCGCGTCATTCTGCGTCAAATTCCAAAAAATAAAGAATAGCTGCAGACGAAAGAATTATAATATAACATTAACATCCGAATTATTTTTGAGAATATTTCTCAAACTTGCTGTTGCTAGCACTCCGGGAAATTGTAAAATCTGACAAAAAAAAAAACCAAGCTTAGCTCTTCTCTCTTGCTTGGGGACTGTACCTCCCGGAGTTACAACACGACATCCACCCAATTATTTCTTGCACACGGACACGACGCCTGCGCCGGTAGTCATACACAGTGGTCATGTCGCCTATCTAACATCTCGGTAGAAGTGATGAAAACAAAAACATCGTGCTGAAATGAGTCACCGGTTTGCTCAACACGTGAAAATAGGACTCTCGGTCTCTCTTCCTGACCGAACTTCCCAAGACAGCGGAGCGAAGTCATATGTCTAGACCAACACCGCACTCAAACTCAGTATTGCGGATGAGAAAAGACAGCCATTGGGTCGGTCATTCACTCTCAGCTGCCGTCCTCTTCCACAAAAAAAGCCGCGAGGAAAAAAACATTTCAGAAAATCTGAAAAAAAATTAGTAGCAGGGACAAAACCGCGGGAGAACAATTCCTGGGTCAGCTAAGCGCGTTCGTTGCGATTGTGGGCGACACTCCCGCATGGTACCTCCACAAATTTACAATCATGTTGAAGTTGATGCTGGTAGTCCAGAGTACCCACTGTCTTTTCACCTGGTTAGCTGCAGGGAATTTTGTGCCACTTTCATCTACTTCTTGTGCAAGACGTGTCCTTCCAATCGCTGTGTTGAATTGATTACAATGCTCGCATATCTGCGCCGCAGTTCTCGGCCTTACAAACTCGTCATAGCAGCACATCCCGCCACCCTCGTCGCCAGTCCAGCGACAAAGCAACCGAGGTACCGGCAAGCGGTCCTCAGGGTTAAGGAAGTGCGGCGAAAGCTTTCAATTGACTACGGACGCCAGGATGCGATCTGGATGCAAGTTTCGCCCTTATCGTAGCGAAGTGACACGACTTGATATTTGCCGCGGTCCAGAGCGGCGTCGACTTTCTAATATCTTTGTCTCTTCAAACTCAACGGGACACGCGAGCATCTTCAGCATGCCGAGTAACAATCAAGCAAGCGAGTGCGGCGTGCCGAGGGAAAGATGATCTTGGTCCTCGTCGTGGCTGACGAATAGAATACCGACAAGTGTTCCACGGCTCCGTTCGGCCCGAGCCTCCGGAGGTGGAGGTGCACGGCAATTACATATTACGAAGTGGAAGAAGACATTTGCTGGCACACAAACAAAAAAACAGCGATACCAAACAATGAATTTTCTACATGCAGGTGATGTGGCTCCAACACGAGGAAAAAATGTAGAAGTAGATGCGCAAACTTGCCTGGAAAATAAAGGCGTAACACTTTATCTGCATTCTCCGGCACAACCCCCGACTTGCTATATGTGTAAGCGCACTACGTTCGCAAGAACATCCAATCGCATGGCCCGGAGACCTTGAGCACCTCCCTGGCCTCGTCCTTAGGCTGGAGCTGGACACATCGTCAAAATCGGGTCCATGATAGAAAGACATGAGTGTTCACTTCAGACTGCGCGAAACATGAGAATGAGCCCGCAATAATGCGAGGAGTTTTAGGACGTTTCATCGTGGTATTGATATCGGATCTATCAACGAAGATGCGATCATTCTTTTTGAATATGCGCACCAAATGCTACATCAAGATGAAGGTCACCAACAAGATCTTCTAACAAAATCGAATATACTTGAAAAGCGCTAGACAAAATGGTGGGCAGATTTGCGTTCTTACGTTTCCGCATCACCACAAACAAACAAGCATGCTCAATTGCTGGTAGTATACTATGCATCGAATGAAGGCGTCGTGTCGAATCCGTATATTCAGTGTGCACCATGCTTCCCCTCGGCTGTACTCATATTCATGTTGTCGACATTCAAATTTTTTCCTGTATCTCCAACAAGTGTCACGAGTGGCGCCCGTGTAGTGTGTGAATTCCGGAGCCAGATATTTATTTCAATTTTCATGTATGCAACAGGCAGGGACTTGTGTATCAGCATCCTACTTTTTTCCTTCTTCTTGTAGTTGATTAGTCTTGTCATATTTTCCTGAAGCGGCCGTGGCTGTGACAAGTATTTCGTTCAGAAGAATGGAATTCCAAATATTTATCAGGGAAAGGAAAGCGCAAGTCTATTCTAGAAAAGTAGTAACAATAAGTAATCATAAATCTGTACACGAAACATCATATCCACGACTCGCACTGCAACGTAAATCCAAATTCGGTTCTGGTTCTTTCCGTGAATAAAACGTCATCACGTCGGCCGGGGGAGGTGGGAAAAGCCGTCAAGCTTGCTTGTATCCCTTGAAAAAGTGACCCTGGGTGGTGATTCTACTTCATCTTTAATGCAATTTGTAAAACCGAAACTGACACTGGGCTTGGTGCGTACTTTCACTTTGTGAGTACCGGCGCCACGACATATTAGTCTATGGCGCCCCTTTTCCTTTCATATTCATGCCTGCGCAAATCTATATCTTTGATCGTAGTTGGTGTTGTGGTTAGAGTTACTGCTACTGCAACTGTCGTTGCCACTGCGACTGCAAGAAGCATCGTCGTGTTCGTGGCGTACTAGCATCGAAAAACAAAATTGCGCATTCCTACTAGAAGTGGATGAACATGAGTAGGCTCGAAGATCAACATGCACAACGCGGCCACTTTTCATGGGGTAATCTAGGCACTCGACAAGAGCCGGAATAAATCTGAGCTCTAGTTGCGCTAGCTGTGGACATAACTCCACCCGGGACAGTATGAAAGCAAAACAAACACCTCCACCTGGCTCACAGTCACACTCATCTCAAAGACGAGGTTCTACATAAAATCACGAGGCGCAGCATGTGCGCAACGACATCCGCAGAGGCAATCTGTACACTTCGTGCCTTTGTTGTAGTTCCGACGCGGAGCGCAAGCAAAAACTTCTAACCTAATCTCCGCTTGACATGCCATTTCTTTGGTTACTGGCACATGAAAATGATGAAAATTGAAAAGTATCCTAGGAGGTCGTTTTGGCCGATTGCAAAATCGTAAACAAATACAGCTCTCGGAGGAAGGGTTCCAGATGTGTGCCGATCGTGGCGCTCAAAATTTCGTCAACCATGCCTCGTCGCCCACGACTCCTGCCGAGCTTCTCATGTTGAAAATTTTTCGCGTTTCCTGTGCTCCTACCTCTTTTTCAAAATGATATCTCTTCGAGCGACCCGCCTGGTGTCGCAGGAACGAAGACGAGCTGGCGTTTTTACTGCCTGGATCACATGCATACTGAGATGGAGTCTTGGGAAAACACGAATTTCTGCTTGGTAGCACAGCTCCTGCCGCAGTCGGAAGTCGAGCTGCACACGAACCGCAATCCGGCGGAGCATCATTGCCAATAGGACAGGAGGCAAGATGAGATTGTCCTTCTTTTGCTCCTGCTGCGGCAAAGCAGGTGGAAGAGTCCCACTGTCGAACGGGCTGAAACTCTGCTTCTCTGTGGCTCGTGCCCTACTCATGAGCCGGGGGAACATACGGGAAAAAATTGCTTCCACTCTCTCTTGCATGCGGTCCCGAACATGTGTTTTCTGCCGGCTTGCTGCTGCGGCCCCGGGCGACGCTTGCAGGAATGCAGTCCCTGATTGTGCTCGCAGACTCCCCTGTCCTTCATGATGCTTCGCATCCGTGCTGCCGGCATCTGGTTCTGGGTCTTGTGTAGAACCAGCTCCGACCATTTCCTCTGCCGCATCCAAAACACGCACCGAGGCGCGCAACTCGAGGGAGGTATGCAGGCGAAACAGATCGGCAACCACAAGTCCTTTCATCTGGTTTTCCAGCCAAACCACTGAAGCAGAAGCACTGGCACTGTTGGTGGTCGAAGGAAGTTGTGAAACTGGTGCATCCACCACCTCCGTTCCTGGGCTGAGCGTGGATTCTTGCTGTGCTGCTGGCCTTTCTTCTGCACTCGCACCCAAGTTGTTCGCCACCGCAACGAACCGCTCCTTCTCGTGCTCGGTACGGCTGCGGCGATTTGAAAAAGGGTGATTGTCATTGGCATTGTCGTTGTAGTCTTCTTCACCATATAATTCTGTAGGTCCTTCAGAAATCGCAAGTACCACATCGCCCTTCAACCGATCCCACAGTTCTTTAAGGCTCGCAGATTCCAGTTCCCGAGGAAAAAACCTTCCGTATCGCCGGCGCAGTACGATGCAGAAACGCTGCAGATGACTTATGGCCTCCTGTTCGAACGTGGCGCGGGAAGCGGAATCACTATCTTCATTACCGTGACTCGAAAACTCAACTGCGAACCCGAATTCGGCAAGTGACAGGTCTGGCTGGAGTGTTTCCATCGCACGTCGGTTTGCATCCCGCTCAGCAGAGCTCACATGATCGAAATCAGAATATTTCAATCGGCACAAAACCTGTAGCCGCTCTGCCAGAGGGAGCTCCCGTAGGTAAACAGCTGTGCTGCATGACACTTCTTTCCCTGCGACAAGAACCGCGGCGTCTTCATCACGATTGCTGGTGGACGGCTTTGCTTCACCAGCGTCAGCGACGTCCATCACCACCGCTGTTCTGCGAACACCAAGTTGTATCTCTTGCACGGCCCATATGTCTAGGTTCTTTTTAGTGGCGCCAGACCCGCTCGTCTTCCCTGGCGCACTGGCGTCACCAAAGTCTAGGTTCTCACTGCGCTGCCTGCACGTAACAAGATGCTCGTCCAGCACTTCTCTCGTCGAAGACAGCGGAATTTTTTGCGAAACGCCGCATTTCTCAATTAAATCCGTCAGAACGGTGCGGTTACCGAGAATTTCGCCACGGTAGGTGAAGGGAGCAAATCCTGTCTCTGCCATTTTGCCTCGGCCGGCTTGGCTTGAAGAGCCTGTTGTTCCGAGAAGTGCGGGCACTTGGCTGCGAATTTCGTTTCTTCGTTGCGCCAGCTTCGGTGTGTCCAAAAACACTTTCCCATCGATTGCGTGCTCTCGGATGTAGTTTTCCAGAAGTTCCCACGCCACACACAAGGAGCGACCAGAACTGCGGACACCGGGTTGGGAGTCGCGATGACTGTGTAGTTGCAATTTCGATGCTTGACTTTGTGTCCTTTCCCACTCACATGCAAAGCCACAGCAAAAGAACCCGGTCTTATGGAGCACCGATTCCGCGAACCAGGATGTGCTGAGAAGCTGGTTGCTTGTGAGACGCGGGACGTCTGTTAGGGGGACCGGGGCTGCTAAGGACGCAGCCGTAGCTGTCACGACGGTACGCGCGACGGGGATGATTCCGTTGTGCTGGCCGTGCCTAGTACAGAAAACTGCATCGGTGGAGTGCTGCTTTGCAATAGGAGAATTGACCGTCCCTTCCGATGTGTTCGTCGTTGCAGCAATGCCGTTCTTGAGGTAGGAGAGCAAGAAGTCATTCTGAATATCAGCCAAAGCAGTAATTAGAAGCTTCAAGTACACATTCTCATCTTCCTCTCCATAACAACTGTAGATCAGGGGTGTGGTCAAACACATCTCGAATTTTGGCAACCGTTGACACTCGTGTCGTTCTAAGATGCCCCAGCGGCAAATCGCTTGATTCCAGACGGATGCAAACTCAGTAAACAGTTGTAGGGCACCGTCATCACACTCACACCTCACCGTGGTCCCGTCCCCGTTTTTTAGATCACGGGAGCGTGCCGTCCGATTATGATTAGGGGATGAAGACGGACAGAACTTGCACAGGAACATTTCCACCGAAAGATCGATGCGTGCTTCGTCCCGGGAAACACGGCCCTCCGCCTTTTCTTGCACTAGCTGCATCCATGCGACCACCTTTGGGATTGCGGCCACGAGCCCCATTGCCGCCAGTCGCCGATCGCCCTCGAGTTCCTGGCTTAGAAAATATCGCAACAACGGAAATTCGTGGTCGTGACTCCAAACACAAGTCGTTGACGAGGAAACCACGCCGTGAGGAGCGACCGCCGTACGATTGGCGTTGTCCATTTTCGTTGCGAGCTCGTAATCGGCGAAGGCGGTCTTAACGCACACCAGGAGATCCACGTCGGAAAATCGGAGCGTTTTTCGCAGAAATCGGTGTTCCAACGTCTCCCTGGCTCTTGTGGCAGCGGCTTTCGCAACCGTGAGAGAATCTTCTACGCTAGATTGTTCAGCGGCTGTGCTGTCAGAGGATTCGATGGAAACCGTCAGCGGCGCATGCTGCTGTGCCTCGTTGCTTCCCAGCTCGCGGCTAGCAGCTGGTACCGATGGTGCCCAAATGCACTCATAAACTTCGGGGTTGCGTGTGTAGTCCCGGCGAGGCATATTGTAATCACGCCTCGCGTCACCGTGCACGCACCGATATTCCGGGTAGTCAAGCTGTTTAAACGGGTACCGCCTCGCGATTTCAAAGACAGGTCCGGAAGCAGACCTGAAACGAGTATTAGCTGCATCAGATGAGAACAATACGCGTTCGGCCAGAAGGTCGTTAATGCCGAAGCTGTGGTAATGGCAAAAGGAGTTCGACAAGGTAAACACCACCTTCCCGGTCTCCGGCCTCACTATTCTCCTCGCCAACGCGAAGAAGGCGCGCATCAGATCTCGGTGCGTCAGAGACCGGTCGTCGGGATCTGCAAACGGCATGTTGAACAGCAAAATGTCGACGTAACCCTCCGCGCCATCAACGGCAGGAGCTATGTGAGGATCTCCTGGACGATGGACTACACCCCGGAACGTTTGCATCACGTCCGCACAGTACTGCTTGATTGTCGACACACAGTAGTCGGGCTCCTCGACGATGTCAATATCGCATTCCACGTGAAAGAGCGCGGTTTCGGGGTTGAAGGCTCGCTCGTAGATTCCACTGTAGCGGCCTAGCAGCTCGGCGCGCGTCTCCTTCGACGTCGCCACGTAGCATTGCTTCGAAACTCCATGTTTTCGACAATACGCCTGCGCAAAAGTAAAATTTCCAGCACCAATCTCGACGATAAGCGGTTGGTGTCTTCTTGCTCGATCGTCTCGGGATGTACTACTTGCGCCCCGCGCTCCATCCACTGTTTGCGGGCGCACTACTTCGTCGATTTCCAACCGCAGCAAGTCGTTTTCGCCGTGACTGAGCTCCGCTAAAAATGAACGATGTTCTGCCGAAGCGGGGACTACAAAATCCTCCGCAAAGTTTCTTTCCCAAACAACGAGTTCCTCGAAATTGCGAATGCTCAAAGTAGTACGGTGAGCTCCGCTTTCGTCCTCGACCGCAGGATCGATGCTGCCCGTAGAAGTAGGCGACTCCTTGCCTCGTAGTTCAGGAGTACCTCCTGTTTGCTCGAGAAGTTTGCAGATGAGGCACATGAAAAATGAACACAACAGCTCCGGCCTCATGTCAAAGTAATGGAGCAAGGCCTGCCAATCAGCCTTGACATGGTGGACGTCAAACTTGGCCGCGTGCCCCAGGAGGTGCAAAACCAGAAACGCCTGTGGCGAAAGAGCTCTGGCACCACAAAGGGGATACTGGTGGTATGCGTGCTCCCAATAGCCGGCCCTGGTATCATTTTGGGTACTTCCAGTGCTCGATCCTGCCTCACGCGGGGACGGGCTCGTCCAGCTTTGTCGATTCGTCGCTTCCGTAGAAGTGGCCGCTGGGGTAAGCAACGTCCAGTTGTTAGGCCCTAGGAAGTTGCATTTCGGACACCTTTCATGGTCAAGAAAAAGGCCGTGCTGACCTCCCCCGATCGGCACACAGGACGTGTCCGTTGTTACCGTCTCTCCGCAGTTGGAACACAGGAGTGTTCGAAAGCTGTTCTTCATTCCAATTTTCTGCAAAGCATCACAATCGAGCTGCTCTGGCATTCCTGGCAGATAGACGCAGTTCCTCTCGTCCCAAAACTGCTTCGCGTTGTACTCCTTAATTGGTGCAAGCCGTGGAATCAAACACACCGCAGAGGCCTGTGCAAGCGAAATAAAAACGTAATCACAACGTGGTTCTTTCTCCTCCTGCACGCGCAGACTAATACTAGAGGTAGAAGGGAGCAGCACACGGACCCTCCAATCCATGAAGCACACTGCGCAAATTTATCGGCTAAAATGTGTCAGTTCAACAACCTGCAAAAAAACACAAAGATTGGAAAAATCCGAAAGGTCACAATACCAAATATTCTTCTATACGAGACTGAGCAGTTTCACCGGTGACATTTCATCAGTCCACGACGATATATCAATGACAAATTGGTATGCACATCTTCTGCATCTGCATCAAACATTGACATCTTTTGTCACCGTCGCCGACTCTGGCCAGAATAATGAAAATAAGTTTCTTCCGCTTGCATAGAGCGCACAAGAGCATCGTCCACATACACAAGAGGTCCCCGTTTGCGGGAGCAACTGCGACTGCACCGTTTGCAGCAATTCTGTCCGCGGGTGGTGTTGCGGATTCACCAAATGTGCGGTCCAGCTGGTCGGCGACTTCGGCGGGAAGATCCGACTGCTGCAGTGCCTTCAACCACCGATTCCCTTGGTGATCGGGCTGAGTGGCACTGAAGGTCGCGGCCACTCCGGACGCTACATCGAACAAGAGTCCCCCACCGCTCGTCCGACGCGATGTGCCGCATCCTGTTCCTGGCACCCTCCCGCCCCCGATGACGGGAACCTCGCGCTCGGACAGAGGTTGCGCTACAGCAGCTTTTTCCGCAACGCGGCGCAAAAGTGCTTGGGTCGCCGCTGCGCAAACTGCAAAACGCCGCGTCACGCTATCTGAGTCGTCCGCGCTGTAGCACAGCACGCTCTGAGTCACCTCGAGCTCCTGGCGTTGCATGTGCAGTAACTCTGCAGTTCTGGACCTGCCGGAGCCGGGCGTGCCCTCCGCCATCAACTTCTCGTCAAGCCGGTCTTCGAAGTGACGCACCAATTCAACTGCCTGTGGCAGAAACTGGTGCAGAATGATGGAATTCTGACGGCCTCGATGGGTTGGGGGCACATTTTGCGTTTCGCCCGTCAACGAAACAGGGCCCCCAGTTGCAGTGCCCGCTCCGGCGAAGCAGTATTGAGAGGTTGGTTCCTGCTGCGAGTCGGGCTCGTCTGGGTGCTTCGCTGACAAAATTCGTCCCAGACCGGCAAAGTTATCGAGCACGAAATCAAGAGTCAAGACCTTCGATAGATACACTGCACATGGCCGATCGTGGCAGAGCGTCAGAAGCATCCGCTGCAGATAATAGTCCGTGTGTCGCCGGCCCTCGCCGAAAGAACATCCGGCCTCATCCGAGCTGCCTTCTCGCTGTGACTGCGCAGAGGTGCTTCTGCTCCACACGGAGTGCTGACGTTGACCTCCTGCCTCGAGCAAAAACTCGTCCTTTCGCCGGTGATTTAACACTTCTGCAAGTATACGCACCCACAAAGATCGCAAGAAAGTCAAACGGACACTCGGAGACCACCTTGGGGATGCGGACTCTAGTATTCCCGCCGTATCGTTTGGCGCCGCACGCGCAGATGCTACTTCCGCTCCTGGCCCTGTCTCGAAATCAGAATCCAGTTTATCTTGGAGTCGTTGGAGTTCCGTGCACAACCTCTCTACTGCAAGAAGGCTTTCCTTGGTGCACCAACGCGAGGTTGGTGCTTGGTTACATCTTTTGCCATCGACCTTCAGTGCTGCTTTCGCGATCAGATCCAACACGACAGGCAACAAGATCATGCTTGGGTGTTGTTGAAAATGAAATTTGGTGGAAGCTCCTCCTGCCGCGGATTCTACGGGCTCCATCCCAATCAACTGCACCCCGCCCACAGCCTGGTTTGCGTTCAAAGTAGTTTCTAATCGCTCGAACAAGGACTCCAGGTACGTCACAAGCAGCGACGCCCGTTGCCCCACACTTGATGCGGCTGTCGTATCTGTGGTGCTGTTCCGTGCGGCTCGCAGCACTAGGGCATCCGGGTCATGCAGCAGCTCCTCCAAGTCATCCACTGATATGCGTGGCCGCAGGACGCACGCAGTGATGCTTACAAGTCTTTGATGCTCCAATTCCGCTTGCAGTGCAGCTCTACTGCTTGCGCCACAGTCCTCTGCGTCCTCTCTTGGGGCTTCCCCGCAGAACTCGACCGCCGCGAGTTCCTGCAGGATCGTAGTAACCAATTCGCTGCTCGTCCTCCTCGTGAGCACCTTTTCGTCCTGCTTCTGAAAACGAGACTCAACGCAAGAAGCTGCTTTTGTAACGCGAGCACTTGTCGGAAATTCTGCGTCCGAATACTCGGCGTAAGCACAGCTTTGCCTATGATCTGCAGTATCGTACCTATGTAATGTTTCCAACGCAAGATGTAGCATCAACCAAGATTTCTCGCGGTGCAGCAGGGTCTTGCCGGATCCAATCAAAGTCTCCTCGATAAAGTGTGGCAAGGTCGAATAAGTCGGTGCTGGATACCCGCGCAGCAATGCAATCCGGAGGACATCAAGGCCTAGAAAGTGACACTTGTTGCTGTCGCTTTTCGTCACGATCTCTGCGGGCGAAGTGGATGCACAGGACAGGCTTTTGAGAGTGTAATCTGCGGCGCCGTGGTTCCCCATCGCAATCTGCTGAGCGAAGCCGAGGACGCGTGTCGCGCAAGCGGTCCACACTGTTCTGCGCGCTTTTTCGCAAGAAAGGTCGGTCGTCTTTTTCCTTTCGGGGCTGCCAACATGTCCAGGCTGCTGGGTGTCACCCTCACTGCATTTCCGAGTGAAGAGGCTGCTGTCATTGTCGTCAAACTTGATCATCTCCCAGACACACGCCTCCAGAAAGCCACCGGCTGCTAGATCCTGGAATTTTTCGTTCAACAAAAGCCCCGCTGGCATCATTGACAGGAGCTGCATACACTGCAAGACGCGCTCCTTCTCAGTGGCCACGAACAGGTGCACGTGGTATAGCCGAGAACTGGCGCGACGCCTGGGAGTCCATTTCCCCCCGATTTTCAGCCATTCGAGGTACTGTCCAAGCACAAGCTGCTGCTGCTTTTCCGAGGTTAGATGACAATTGCCCGCGTATTTTTCCGTAAATACACCTCCGACAAAGCCCACACGTAACACATCGAGCTCGTAGTCAGAGATTGCTTGCTTCATCTTTCCAAACTTCTTAGAACACAGCTGCACTGGATTTTTCTCAACATTCGGCGGAGTGCCTTCTTCGCCGTCACTGCCGCTGCCGAGAGCAGATGCGTCGTGGACGTCGGCAATACCTGAGCTATCTTCCACGAACTCTTTGATCCAGAGCCAGATCTCCATGCCGACGTACCGGGGAGCAACAATCTGATCAAATTCTCTTTCACCCGGCAGTTGCTTCTGCTGTTGCAGGCCGTCGCCCTGCAACGCTTGGCTGATCCGGTCGGCAATGAATTTTACGAATGGTGTGCTGATCAACCGCACTGGTGCGGTCCAGCCTTCCTTGTTGTTCGTTTTTGCACTTCTTGCAACACGAGTTTCGCAGGAAAAGAACTCCGGCGGCAAGCGAAGGTCGTAACATTCGGGGCCGCTTGGGTCGGCAACTTGCTGGAGCGGCATGTCGTCTTCTTCGTTCCGGGTGCCGAGTACGAAGCGTGCTGCGTCAAACCACTGGAGGCGTCGCATCGTCTTCCCTGTGCCGCTCTGCTCGATCGCGAGCAAGGAACCGAGCGCGCAGTGCTTTTCCATAAAAAACAACCACTTTGCGAGGCTCCGGTGCACCAGTCCAGAAAAGAATTCGCTGACTGCCTCACTGATTTGGGAAAATTGCCGGAGGTAGCGATCGTCATTCTGAAAAATTTCTTCAAACCAGCGCATCTTTTTCGAGAAGTCAGTATTTGCTGCACCGGAGTGAGATGAATCCGGCTCGCCCCCGTAATCGAGCTCGTAAAACTCACCAATCACGGGAAAGCACGCTTGTTCGGCAATGAACTTGACCAGCTCTTTGTCCTGCAAGATGAAGTGGTGTAACTCGTTTTGGTGCTGGAGTGGCGCTGCACCAGCTGGGTACCGCAAGTGCTCGAAACACGTCGCGAGCTTGCGCTCTAGGAGGCTTTGGAAGAAATCGTGGGTGGAGGACAGAACATATCGCACAGACCACTGCTCGCGCAGCGCTCGCACGAATGGAAATCTCTCTGCGTAGACCGCAGGAGCTTTCGTGCCTGTGCCTCTCCTGGGCGGTAATGCAGCTTCCGCTGGCAGTGTTTTCATCACACATTGTGCTGACGACGAGATCGCTTCGCCCGGATCGCACGTCGTCACGGATCCGGCGGTTTTCCTCTCGGAAGATGCATCCACCAGCACGTCGTGCACGTCTTCAACCAGGCTCAGCTGCCATCCAGAAAGGAAGTTAAAGCCGCCAGGGAGTGTGTCTTGCCGGTCTCTTTTTGATAGGTGGACGAATAGGACGCAACACCGTGCGCGTCCCGCATGCTCCTTTACCAGTGTGAGATGTGGCGAGTCGGCGTGGCACTGTAGAACCAGAAAGCGTTCGCTTCTTGCTGAAGATGGAGCAGCTTTGACATCAGACGGAGCGGCACCACATAGTTTGTTATGATCCGTAACAATTCGCTCCAGATCGCGCTCTCTGCCAAAGGCGTCGGCGTTGTGCACCTCAGCCAAAGAAACCAGCTGCTTGTTGCGCAAGCGCAAGGACTTTGTGGTCTTCAGACAGCCCTCCTTGGAGAAGGTAAAGACTACAACTTTGGTACTCAAGTTCCTGCTATCCTGATCCTGCTCGATTGTATGCTCCATCGAGGACCTCTTATCAAGAGTTGAGGAATTTTCGCCATTCAAACGGCTTATCTCGGTCGGCATTAGGACTGCTCGTTCGGCACCGAAGAATCGCTCGAAGTACTGATTGCACCAAGCAAGCGTATTCTCATCATCCCATTGTGCGGCCTCACTGTAGCGTTCGGTGCGGAGCACCCCATCGCAGATTGCAAGCGGTAGGAGCAGCGCCCAGGCGAGTTCCAGTATCTTTCCCATCCTCATGGAGTGCCACTCCTGCTTCTGTGAATCCAAGTCTAGTTGCTCCGCCCGCTGTGGCTTACCCCAGACGGTGTCCTGGGGCAAATGCAAACCATTCTGCGACCACCCAAAAGTCGGCAAATCGGCACCAGCCAAAGAGCTATCTCGGTTTGTCGCTGGTCCACTAGTAGTGTCTGTTCTGCGCAACACAGCGTCGACGTGCTTGTCCAGAAAAAGCACGAGAGAGGCAAGCACGCACTCGTCAGCGCCCAAGCACACCTGCCAATTGGAGCTAGGGGCGTCGGTGCGTGGTCTTGCTCCACTGGAGGCTCCAGCGTCTCGTATCTGCCGCCGAAGTTGCTTTGCCAGATCTTGCAAGTCCTCGCGGCCCCGCAAGTAGTCCTCTACAGAGTGCACAAAGTGTTTCTCTGCCCGATTCAGAAACGCCACGTCCACTCTTGTTGGATCGTCCAAGAGGATGACGCAGCGAAATTTTGGATGCACCACAACCTTCTTGTGAATGTCCGCGAGGGCAATGCGGCAACGAAGCTCGGCGTCACTCGATCATCACGCTGAGAGCACTGTGGTTTGCTTCAAAGCTCAAGGTCAAGGTACGATACAACGAAATGCAAGACATAAATCATAAACATGCAACACAAGATAAGGCAAAGAGAAATCTTAAATGTCTGCTCATCAAAGGCGGAGCTTGTCAGCTCTACTGTGGCTAAACTTTTCATTCCGACGTGGCTCCGAAGGATGCGAGGACGACATCAAAGCCATGCGTACGCTCGGATTCAAAAGCCACTTGGTTGACAGTCACCACTCACGAAGACGGAAGAATAAGAAAAGCGTAGCTGCATGCAAAATAATTATCGTTAGGGGACCCTTGTTCGTAACCTGCAGATGGCTAGTAAAGATGCACGGCCACAGTTTGCTCATGTTGATAACGTGCGTTCATAATTCATGTTCAAGACATGAAACAGAGAGCCGTAGATCACATCGAGGTCGCGGAGCACAGCGATTGTGCCGCTTTCCATGCAGTGCATGAACCGGTTTAGGACATCGGACGCGTAGCTTGCCGATTCTGAAACGGCGTCTTTCGGGAAAACGGAGCCCACAAACAATTCGCAGGGCTGACCGTGGCTCTCGCTGGCGAGGCGAACCAAGTCCAGTGCAATCTCGTAGTGTGCGGTCGACTTGCACACTAACAGCAGATGGCGCGCTTGATGCCCGGCTACAAAGTTCTTCGCGAGCATCTCCGGCAGGGTAAAGGATCGCATCTGGTTTTCGGCTTTATGGAACTCCGGATCGTTTTGCGGCAACTGCAGACACTGCAAAAACTCACTCTTCTCTCCGTTAGACGTCAGCCCTCCGAAGTTGCGCTGGGCGGCTTCGAAGAGAAACTGCAAGTAATTCGCCGGTTGGAGCTGGAGTGCGTGCTGTGATGGTCCAGTGGTGCGCTGAACGTGGGTGCGCGCAATGCTGCAGAAGGACTTTACGAAAAAGTAAAAGTCACGCAGCCCATGGAAATCAGGCATCTTCTGCTGCAAGTAATATCCCCGGTACGAGTTCACCATTATGTCCCGAACCTTTTCTTTGCAATACTGGGCCTTCGCAGTCTGTCCGACATTCTGCGGAGCCTCGAAAGCTTTTGTTCTGTCAAGTAGCTCGGCCGCGATATTTCTCAAGTCTGCGGGCTCCGGCATCGGCAGATTGATGGTTAGCCCCCGGCTCATCTTTGCGGCGTCCAGCTGGTCGTTCGAGAGCGCCACAAAAGCAAACTCAGGCTTTCGCAGCTTTGACTGCGCCGGCTCGAGCCAACTGTGCAGTACCTTCAGTGGGTTGTTTGGGCTCTGCTCCGCAAGCCCGATCTCGTCGAAGTGAAATAAAACGATGGTATCCTTGGGACTGAAATTCAAGGTGCTCTGGGACCGTGTGACCGCCGGCGCACTGGCTGACGCACCGGGATGCTGCCTCGATACGCCCATAGTACTTGGCGCTGCTCCTCCAGCTGGAACTGTGTTCCCGGACCCGGACGCGGCTTCCGAACCTCCCTGGCTCTTGCCATCATACGATTGTTGCATTTTCTGTGCTTGTTGAAAGCGGCGTTCTATGCCAGCACTGTTTGAGACGTCGCTCCCCTGGTAAGACACCACATACAATTTGGGCATGTACTGCCAAAAGGGCATGTAAGACTCCTTGCCCTTCAGATTGCTGTCAATGATATTCAGCGCCAGGGACTTCGACATTCCAGGCTTGCCTACGAGATACACTGGGTCGCGGTTCAACAGCCCAATCACGCTGACATAAATGTTCTCTGCGAGGGTGTTCGTCACGACCACGTCTGGCGGCAGCCGCATTAACTCGACCATTTTCTCGTGCTGCTCGCGATGCCAGTAGGACAAAAGGAAATCTTCGTATTCGCAGTGCCTCTTGACCTCCTCCCAGCTTCGAAATTTGCCCTCGTATTTTTGTTTTGCATAGAAAAACTCGTAAAGTACTGGCGATCGGGCTGTTTTTTCTCGCGTGCGCATCGTGTCTTGGAGTAATCTTCGATACTCACGCCGCTGCTTTGCGTCCGGAATGCGAGAGTGGTAACACATCATGAGCCCGAAAAGCGTGGCGCTTAGTAACAAAATGTTTGGCATCAGCATGTAAGGCAGGTCAAACTCGCCTTTGTAGCTCTGCTTGCCAACATTCTCGTTGTGTAGCGTTACCAGAATCGTCTCTCGTGTCTTGTAGAAATGCACCAAAAAATAGATCAGTTCCACGCATCGCTTGATGTCCCGCAGGCTCACCAGATAGTTGGGAAAGCGCTCAGTAATGAATTTTTGCGAGACCCAGAGCAGCCGGGTCAGGTCGTCCGCGAAGGTCGTGCGCTCTTCACTGCTCTGTCCGAACAAAGACTTAAACCTGGTACAGAAGAGCGACGCGCTGTTGTAGCCACTCTTATCTTTCCACCAAAACTTCATTTGCCCGACGTTGTCCAAGCGCTGCGCAAGCCCTTTGCACATAATTCGCACGTACTGCTCTTCCTCTGCGGGGCCAAGTTTGCCGAAATCGTACATGAACAGCATCAATTTCTCTGGCAGCGGATGCACCGAATACACTAAATTTGCGAACTTGCGGCGCGCGTTAGACGTCGACCCGGCGATGGCTTTTTCGTCAGCACTGATTTGATCACACGTGCCGATGCCGCCCTCGCTAGCAAGCACCTTTCGTTGAACGGAAGTAGAAAGTGATGTTTTTTTCTCTTCTCGCAACCGGTACGGATTTGCAGCGGCGAGAAAAACCAAGTTCTCCGCGAGCGGATATCCCCGGAGACGGCGATCCACCATGACGTCTGCGATAACGCCTTGGTGCGCACAGGTATTGATCTCGTCGAGAAACACCCACACCTCTTGCGCATGCGACGCCTCATTTCTGGCCAGGTTGTCTGCTCTTTCAACAAAGTCCAGGATGTCCTTTGCGCCAATACCCGCGTGGACGGGCAAGTCGAGAAACTGGACGCCCAAAATTTTCGCAAGCGTCTGCAACAGCGACGTCTTTCCGCATCCTGTCTCTCCTACGAGAATTACCGGCATCCGCGCTTCCGCACGCAGGGCCACACGAATCATCTTGAGAAAATTGTCCGGCGTTACCACATAGTTTGCTGCGATCTCTTCCAAAGCTTCCTCCTTCAACGGCACCGCAGCATTACCCACCACCTTCCACACCTCACGAATCAGCTCGCGTGTCGACATGTCACGGTACTTTGGTAACGGTTTTTTTTGTGTTTGGAGGAGACGCAGACAGCTGGAAAAGTGCGCATCCTTCCTAGCCGCAGTCTCGTCTCGCGCAAGAGGAGAAACCGTCTGCCTGCCATTGCGATGAAACACCAGCATCGGAGCTAATTTGGACCAAGGGATCACATCCATGCCGCATTGCGAAACATGGTTATGAAGATTCTCCAATGTGGTGTGATTCTTGATGTGGAACTGCATCTGTTTTCGCAGGACAATCAGGTCCACTGACAGCTCACAAAAATCCAACACGAACCGTATGAGGCCTCGCACCACCTCGCTTCGCAGCCGTCTCGCGGATTCTTCTATCGCCTGCATTTGCGATGCGACGCTGTCGACTCGAAAGAAAACACTGTAATGAAAAGCCACGAATTGCGCCGCAAGGATCGCCAATGCGCTCTGCAGTTGGGCAAAGCTCTGAATCTTCGGTGCAGGAAGGTTCGCCTCCTGAGCCACGACAGAGGCGGTTGCGCGGTCTTGAGAAAAGATGGCGTCGGCGCTGGTGGTGTCCTCGGATAGAGATTTCACGCCCAAATATTTCCTGAACAAGGCACGAATTTTGGAAGTCGGAATGCAGGTTGTGGCCATTTCGTTCAGCTTGCGAGCTGCAGTTCTCGGTGTCGCCGCGGCTGTTGTAGTAGGTGAAAATAGATCCAGGTCTGTCGTGTCGATCTTCGGGCGGCAGGGATCTGCGTCGGACCTCACATCGAGAGCGGCAAGCGTTTTTGCCACAATTTGGTCAGCGCTTTGCGGATCCTGTGAAGGCACGAACCGGTCGAAGGAGAAATCCACATGAAGTGCCGCAGTCGGTTGTTGCGATGAAAACTAATCCCGCTCGCACACAATTGCATTTTTGTATAGAGGAATCTAGTACGCTGACGATCCCGACGGCTGTTCCTATGTTGATGTATGATACCTATCAAATATACCAAGAAATTATAGTTGCTGTTGCGCAGCGCGAGGCGAGTTTTCATCACTATATGGGTGGGAAAAGCCGAAAAAACGGTATACAGCGACCTAGTGCAGCTGAGCCCGTGTCCGGCAGCGTCGCAGTGCTGGACAAATTGGCCACTTCGATGAAGAAAACCCTGATGTCTCGCAGATGCAGCAGTGTGTTTGTCGACTGCAAACTCTTCAGCAGCACTAGTTGAAATAGCATGTCTGAAAGTACGCGCGCATTCGAGTCCTCAAAGTGCGCAGCAGTTTCGTCAAAGAAGACGTCGTTGACCTGCAAGTGCAGACAGCAAGGAATCCCGGAGTTGTCTTTCCGCAGCACTCTGCCCTGCTGAGCGCAGAGACTGCGGTGTAGTTCTGCGATCACCGTTTCGAGCGCGTCCTTACCTGACATAGGCCCTCCAATCCGCACGTCGATCGGGTACAAGCCGCGGCGTCGAGCTTCCTTCTGGATGAACTCGGTCTTTCCGCAGCCCGGAAACGCAGAAGTGACTACGTGCACTTCGGTATCGCAAATGCGTGTCAAAGCGGAGGAGAGCTCCTGTAGCGGCAGTAGTGGGCCAACGGCAGGAGCACCGTGCAAAAGAAGTTCCTCTGGTGCTCGTCCTCTTCCCGTCGCATAGTGCTGTCGCATCGTATCCACTTCGAGAAGAGGCGTAAACTTGTTTAGCAAGTAGCACGTGGTGACGCCGCGGTGCGGAACCCCTCTTGGTCCCCCTGTGGCTAAGGACGCTCTGGTAGTGCTCGGTCTCATTCGAGATTGCAGGAGGCGTCGTCCCCCGAAATACTTGTGGGGCCAGACCGCACTGCTATCTCCAGCCGCGCCAGTACTTGTGTTTCCGCGATGCTCCGCTACTGCGACCACGAGCAAATACGTTTCTGCGGAGGCTCCGGTGGCGGCAACGGCGTCATGTGCGTTGCCAGACGGCGCAAATTCGGCCACAAAGCGGATCTGCAGATCATAGTCGAGTTGCTCAGCGTTCACAAGACAAAACAGACTTTTGTCGGGACTCTCGCTTTGATACCTTGCCAGAAAGGCCTGAACCTGTTCCCAAGTCGTTGTCTGACTACAAAACAGCACTTGGTGCGGGTCAGGGCGAATTTGAAGGGCAGCGTGGCTCCAGATAATTGCCGGAAGAATGTCCTGAGGCCGTCGTAAACGAGAAAGATGCGGGCCTCAGTTACTTGCGACCAAGTACAGCGACAACTCTTTCTTTTCAGAAAGTCATGATCTTCGTATCTAGATGTACTTACATTCAGGAAAGCGGAGATCATAGTGATTTCGAGCAGGCTCAAGTTATCGTATATAAAGGCACTGTGATTAAACGTATCTGTATGTACATACTTCCCTTCATCTTCTTGTTCTTCCTAACCACACAGCTAGCACACTTTTTTTTTGATAAAGATGTGGTCGCTAGAAAAAATGCGTAGCGTCGCCGTGAGCTATGTCTTTATAAAGTTTTTTTTGGGCGGTTGACAGCATGATCCTGCGCGCACTCCTATGCGAACATTCGCTTTCTTTCGACGTCTGGCTATTATAGTATAGCAACATGTAATCTAAATCTGAGAGGCCCAGCAACTTAAACTTTGATAGCGATCGCGCGACACACATTAGCAAAGGAGGAACCTCCCGCCGAACTGCAAGCTTTCCGTCCGTTTGCACTTGTGATTCGACTTGGCTGCCACCATAGTACAGATCGCGTTTGCGATGCTCACGCGTTGCCTCCACATAGCCTTGCCACACTTTCAGAGTCGTTGCGTCTACTAGAGCTAAATCCAGCCCATGCTCGGAGGGAAGACGCAGGCTTTTTGCAGCACCAGACCCCTGGACGCGCATTGAAACCGTGGTGGCAACCGCAGAGTAGAAAGACGATACACAACGCCCCAGGGCGTCAAGCCAGGCTTCTGCCGTGGTAGCCTGCTGGAGACGTCCCACACCGCCGTCGTGTACTGCACTCGCCCAACCAGTTTCCAATGCTGACTCCGAGAAGTTGGTCTGGAAAAGGAACCGCAACATATCGGACACTTCTTGCCCAACGTGATCGTTCGTCGTGAAAAAGTTTTCGACGACCCAAAGTTGCTGGCCAACGACGCGCGTAAGGATTCCATGCTTGCGCTGCGCGGCAGCAAGTGCGACCTGCCACTCCTCAGCATCCTTTGCAACCGCGGCAAGAAAATTTCCCAGGTCCCCGGAGGAGCTGAAGCCGACTTCGCGTTCGACCTTGTTTTTTTCCTTTTGAAGCAGCAGTGCGCTACTACTAGTACTCGTGCTGTCTTTGCTGCTCCGGACGCGATATTGGAAGTGTCCAGCGCGGCGGATCGCTGCCAGTAGGCCCCGTAGCTCGAACACCTGGTCCGATTGCTCGTGGAACACGCGAAGCAGCTCGACAAGTGTCTCTCGTTCCCGAACCGCTTCTTCCTTGCGCTTACTGTCCTGAGCCAGGTTCTGCCGACTGGAGGGCGTGCTGCAAGAAGCTTTTCTTACGTCAGAACGGCTGTCCAGCATCCTTGCTTGCTGCTTCAGTTCCCGCAGCTCCCGCTCAGCCAAAGTGCGACGCCTGGTTGTCGTTGCTGTGTCAGCAGCTGATGTAGACCGCTGCTGCTCCTCGTAGTCATAGAAGGCCTCGACCGTGACAAAACCGGCTTTGACGCTTGTGCGCACGATGCCGCTCTCGACTAGGCGCCGGATCTTCGTCTTGCTTGCTTCGTCGCGGTCCGCAGCAGAGGCGCCTTCCAGCTTCTCCTTGAATCCAGCAACAAGTGAGCCGCACTTCTCCACATTTTCGATGAAGAGTTTCTCTTGCCCCGCGATTTCATGTAACAGCAAGCCGCACAGCTGCCGCAAACGGGGAAGCGGGCCGGGAGGAAGCAGCATTCCCGATTTCTTTGGGGCATCAGACTTGGCAAAGCGAAAAAGCTTGCGCAGAACCTCAGAAACGCTGACGAGTCGCCGCACAGCATCCAAGTCTAGTCGTCCGTCGCTATTCAAATCGTCCACGACTTCATTGAGCTCGCTTTCAAGATCGCGCTTTCGTTGCGAGTAAAGAAACTCTACCAAAGGTGCGTTAGCGTTTAACGCACAAAACACGTCGTTGGCCTGCTTGGTGCTCTGAATCTCTCTCTTCAACTTCTCGGAGAAAGGATTTTCCATGTTATCGTGTTCTTTTGCTAACGGACTGTACTCAAAAAGCAGCAGCTTGGAGTGCGTGCTGCTCGTAATTCCAGACGGCATTTTCGGTTCCCATCCTTCAATTAGCCGCATCATTTTCTCCCCGACATTCTCACAAGTCTCAGACGATGAGCCAGACAAGGGCTTCACCGGGGCGGCCGCTAATCGCATCATTTTTCCGAATGCAGATAAGTGTGTTGCCTTAGCTTCGTAGTCCTTGCAACAGAAGCAGGCCAAGAGCACTTTTTTTCGCTTCACTGGTTGACGCAGTATTCCTCGCAAAGCGGTTAGCTCGTGTTCTATAGCGAGGAGCGAAACCTCTAGCTGGGCTGCCTCCTCGCCCTCCGTCGCGTCTTTGCGCTCGATGTCGCGCTCCTCAGCACTGGAGCCTCCGCTGTCGAGCTCGCGCTCCTCCTCACTGCTGCTACCACTTGCACTTCCGGCTGCTGCTGTGTCCCTATGAGTGCGGTAGAATTTCTTGTGGCGTGAGCTACTCTCCATGTCGGCTTGATTGCTCTGATGAATTTTTGGGACCAGGGCATACACGTCGCTCAGGCGTAGCGGCTGGCTACCGGGGCATGCTCCGGTTTGCGGATATGTGACACAGCCAGCTCTCTCCAAAAAACTTCTCCACTTGGTAACAAAGCGGCTAGCGGCGTTTTGCAACGCCGCATCCAGCTCGGGAAGTTTGGAATCGCAGCTTTTGAGCACGCGCATCGCGCTCGGCGCCCAGCATTCATGCAGAAAAAAGCTCGACTGCAGCAATACAGAATACTTGTGCACACTGCCAAACGTTGGCAACTTCAGCGTTGCTTCCTGTACAGCGTGGTTCGCGACAGGCACAGGGCCGCCGCCCGACATTTCCTCA